TGTCGTAAGATGCTGAGGCGACCAGCTGCCCGTCTTGCGAGAACACCACCGCATTGACCTCGCGTGAATGGCCCTTCAGCTCGCTGCGACACGTGCCCGTCGCCGTCTCCCACACTCGCACTGTCTTGTCGCAGGATGCTGAGGCGACCAGCTGTCCGTCTGGCGAGAACACCACTGCCGTAACAAGGTCTAAATGGCCCTCCAACACGCTGCGGCATGCGTCCCAATCTGCTTCTTTGCCTGACAGTATCTCCACTTCCTGAGGGACCTGATCGACAAATGTCTGCCGTACAACGCTTGTTTCTGGTGCAAAAACAAGCGCTGACGAATACACCTGCAGGGGTGCCTCTGCTACAACTGAACAGAACCGCAGCACAAATCGGTTGGCATCGCGGAGGAAGCCTGCACACATGCTTGCAGATGGCTATCTTGCAGGTTAGCATATTGTGGTGTCTGTCATGCTGGGACTATTACCGGTGTTATCGCCTGCAGTCTTGCCAGCAAGTGCACGCACTGGCCTGTCTCTCCCACCAGGCTCATCGCTTCGAGCCAGTGCAGAAGGTGCATCCGAAGAAAGATGTGCACTGCATCTCCATCGGCGATGCTGCACTGGCTGCGCTTGAGGTGCTCTACCCAGTAGCGGCATGCATACTGCAGTTCTGGCGGCAGGTTACTCGTTACTCTCTCCTCTTCAACCTTGCTTCTTAGTGTCCCTGGCTCCAAAAGACTACACATATCTTGTCGAAGGCCATTAGGCGCAGACATAAGCTCAAGACAGCGGGACGCCAGCTTCCCGTGTGTGCTTCTCTCATCTACCCAGAAGCTGTCGTCGCCGCATCTCTTTTTATCAAGCAGAAAGTCGCGAAACGAAGGGTGGTGCAGTCGAAGCGGCTGGGTTGTGTCTTCTGGGATGTTAAGAATAGCATGCAGATCTTCGAGTGTCTGGCTAACGTCTTCATATGCGACGTGGAGCAGTGCACTCAAACACCACGCAGATAAAGGGGAGAACAACACTACTACACTTCCAACAATGTATCTCAGCATTCTACAATGCTCTCCTCTCTCCTCGTCCGTGAAGTCTGCAGAGAGTGAGCTGTTGAGCACAGTAACATAAATCTGGTTGAGATGCTTCTCTGGAGCAGCAACAGTGTTGCCATCATTACACAGGATCGTCTCTAGCCTCTTAGCTGCAAAGCGCTTTCCTTCGCGGATGAAGCGACAGGCAGTGGCAGCCCAGATGAACAGACCGCTTGCGCTCTGCACTAGCTGTATAATGGTCTCTGCGCCGGGCCAGCCAGCACGTAGACAGCGTTCTCGCCCAATGGACTGAAGCTTGTCTTCCAGGAAAAGGCCTATGTCGTGATCTACGATCGACGGTGAGATGTTATGCAACACGACATTCTTGTGCTCCGCGTCCGCCATCTGCCCGAACCCGTGCCGGATCGGCTCTTCTGGTCTGCTGGTTAGCAACACCCGCAGCCGGACGCCTGTCAACGACCGCGCCTCGGCCAGCAGCTGCACGATGATGCGGATGTTGCTGTCGCTGTCGCACTCGTCGAGCGCGTCGACAACCACAACATATGGCCCGGGCTCGCGCAGCTTCGACAGCGGGCGGTAGACCAGGTGCTGCCACTGATCGCGCAGCGACTGGCCGACGATGTCGCTGCGCTCTGCAACAGCGTCGCAGATGTGCTGTCGCGCTGCTGGCACACTGTGCGCAAGCTGCACCGCGATGCTTGTCACAAACCTGCCGGCGTGGCCAACGTCGCCACCGCCGCGCGAAAAGAAGAAGCTTGCTGCGAGACGTCGCTCATCGAAGTAGCTGCGCGCGACGGTCCGGGCGATGGTCGACTTGCCCGTGCCCGCCAGCCCGCTCAGCCAGAAGATGCATCGCTCATCTGACCCATCCGCCCAGCTGTATATCTCGCGGAGGAGGTCGATACGCGTGTTAGGGAGGCATGCAGGCTCGTGCTGCTTTACGTACGAGTTGAAGGGCGCGTCTTCGGCGCGCGGTAGACCAACGAGGCTGTTCTCGAGCTCTAGTTGTTGAGTTGTCTACTTAGCGTCCTGTTCATACCGAGAGTCCGACTGACAACCTGCTGGCGTCGGGTGGGGTGGTCCCGCAACGTACCAGGTTGGAGATGGAACTCAACAGAGCCGTTGATGGTGTGAGCTTGGACGCTGGAGCGCGCGTCGCCGAAGGCTATCGTGGATACTGTAGAGACCATGGCATCGCCGCAGCAGAGCATGCATCAGCGAAGGTGTGTCTACGATGGTGTGTCTACGGTGATGGAGTCTGCGGCGCAGCACCTGCTAGGCCTCACTCAGCCTGGCAACCTGCAGCCTGGCGGTCTTCAGCCTGCAGCCCAGCGACCTCGAGCAGTCACCGTGAGGCCTACAGCTGACGCCAAGCATGCATTCGATCGTCGACCCGCTCGTCCCGCCAGCCAAGGAAGACGAGAAAGAGAAAATTGACAGACAAGCTCTACGCAGGTCAAGAACCGTGTCATTCTTGCGACCACTCTCGCAGGCCAGCAATCGATCTGATGGTGTCGCCACCGAGACACCTGCGGTGAATGAGCGCACATCATCCATCTCATTGCAACGAGCATCAAGACCTCCAAGTCTTTCATACTTGACGACAGGATCGGAAACTTCGATAGCACCGCCTAGCGAACCACCGCCTCAGAATAATATTCACCATTCAATTCTCAACCTCTTATCAAACTATCCTCCTTTATCCTCCTCACTGGTCTTTTGTAGTACTCCTACACTTGATCCCTTCTATATCATTTATCCTTTCCACTACTTGTGATATCCCCACACTTAGTCTCTTCCACACCTCTGTCTTCAACAAGTGCGAGGTCACTGTAGACAGAGGACTGGATATGGGACGAAAAGGTATATTGTAGTAAATAGATAGACGAATCCTTAAGGGGTCAGCCTTGGGGATTCGAGGTAGCTATATACTCTTGGTCTCGGAGGTGGCCATCCGAGGTCCCGGTGGTGGCCCGTATGGGTCTCGATATATACCCATAGAGCAGAACATCCGTGACGGTCTCGGGCAAAGCCTGCAATATCATCGGAGTGGTTCATACTGGCGTTGAATGCCCTTGAAGACTCGAATGAAAGGAACATACGAGAATCTAGCTGGACTTGCAGCTTACAGTGACCTGCCAACGACGCACGTCCATCAACCTCGAAAGCATGAGCGCATTGCTCATGCCACCACTTGCTGCGGCCGCCATAGCACACAGGGCATGGGGATTGTATGTTGCGTTGTCCTGTAATTTGCTCATCGTTTTCCGAAAATCGTTTCTGATAGTTCTCCTACGCCAAGCCTTGCGCAGGAAGCGCACCGAAACCGAACTGTGAATTGCAAAACCGAAATGGATGGTATAACAAACCAGAGAGGGCACGGAAAAACTCTTTATATATGGCAGTGCATCGGTAGTTTCACTAAACCACCGATGCAAAGTTGTATTCCGTTGAAAATATTCTCAATTTTGAGAAATACATAACGGAAATGACAAAATTCAATTGTGGTACATGCTTAGTACTTCTGGCAAGTCAAAACCTCTACCCCCCAAGCACCTCTTGAGGTACACTGAAGCGCGTTGCGACTTTCCTAGTTTTAGGCCGTTTAGCGAAGAGAGCTGACCGGCTCATTGGCTCGATGGCTATCCCTTACGGCTGGCCCCCACAAACTCGGATTAGAGCAAAGCTGAGTCGATCTGCGTTTAGGCAGCAACATTTCACTTTATTGACACCTGTCCCAGTAGCCGCATATCTGAAATCTTACAGACAGCTCTATGGTACTCACGAACATCCCAAACCGTTAGCAGTAGTTGAAGGTTACGTATGGACGTTCCACGGTACAAGTATGAGCCTTTGCAACTTGCCAATGAGATTCGCGTGCTCAAGTTAGGAAAGAATCGAACAAGGATCGAAGTCTGTATTCTCCATGTGCCTGTGGCAAGCCGTGCTTTCCGTGCACTTTCTTATGTGTGGGGAAACCCACAGGAAGCAGGCAGGGCGACAATTACCGAGGGAAATGGACAAGCACTTGGATGGATCCCCTTGACCAAAAATCTTGACAACGCCATGCGCAACCTCCGCGACACCGAAGGGCTCGAAAACGAGTGTTTTTGGATCGACCAGATCTGCATCAACCAGCAAGATGAAGAAGAGAAGGGCCAGCAAGTTGCAATGATGAGCCATATCTACACTGAGTCAAGACAAGTCATCACATATCTTGGACCAGCTGGGATCGAAGAGGAGGAGCTGCGAGGGATCCGTTTGCTCAAGAGAATCCACGAGTACATTCCGGATGAGACCTGGCAGCAAATGTACAAAGTAGGAAGTATCGAACGGATTCGCGACTCAGTTCTCGATGGGAGCATTCAAATAGAAAAACTTCCAGTGGATTTGGACCTCTCAGACGAAGAATCATGCGAAGATGCCGAAATATGGGAAAGGTACATGAGGCAAGGCTGGAATTGGCTTATACAGGTTGCGTATGGTGAATGGACTCAGCGATTATGGATCGTACAAGAGCAGTTGCTAAACAAGAATGTTATAATGCTTCGGGGGGACCGCCTGATAGACTGGAACGCTATTGCCACACTGCCTATCCTATTTGGCTTTGGCCACCTTCCACAGCAATATCGCGATACAGCTAGGAGAATGCTTGGTGGGAATGCAGTGCCTGCGGTCGAAGTCGAAAGATCTATATACGGCCTCTGGTGGGACAGGCAGGCCCGACTCCAGACTGAGACTGTGTATACCTGGTCTCCGCTATGCCACAACTTACAATGGTACCAGTCGCTTCTGTGTCGAGATCCTCGAGACCGCGTGTACGCCATTCTTGCCATTTCCAAGGACTCTGCAGCCCTCAGTCTCAACCCAGATTACTCTTCTATGAATACTCCGGATACCCTTTCCAGGCATTTATCCGTGCGCGTGCTTCAGAATGGACACAATCTAGAGCTCTTGAGTTTTAGTCTTTCATGGCGCCAACCGCATTCAACACTTCCCTCCTGGTGTCTGAACCTTGATATCGCCTTCGACGCCAACTCCCCGGCGAATGTTCCCGTTGAAGTATATAAACCGCACCCTATATGGCAGCTCAAGGAATCTGTACGCTTTCGTTCGAATGACTCGGTCCTTATAGTCAGAGGACGGATCATAGATAACATCTCGACAAAAAATTACAGTACAGTTCGGATTCATGAGACTACAAATATCTCATCGCAAAATGGCTTTTTACGCAGCCTCGTGTCTACCGTACCTGATAACTTTCACATGGAGGATATCTCCCGCATACTGGATACAACCACCGCGAGAGCACCTTGGTCCCCACAACCTACGGCTCAGGCCACGAAAGATGAGGTGATAGCTTTCTACTTCTGGGTCTATCTGAGATACCTGTTGCGTCTGCTGGTGGAAGAAACTGGTTCTATTTTGCCCACATCTGACGACATCATCGAACGCTGCGATCGTATCCTGCAGAGGCTTAAGGTTTTGGCCCCCCGTAACCCATATCCAGAATGCGAAATCACCGCTGAGATCACCGAATCGGAGTTTATGGCTCTTGAAAAAGTCTTGATATATTCGTTGGAAGAGGGGCGTTGTCTTGGTCGCACTGCCACACAACGCTTCTTCAATGCTACTCACAGCGTGCAGGAGGGTGATCCGATCGTGGCTTTGCAAGGTTCCGACCAACTCTATGTCATTCGTCTTGTCGGTGGAACCTACAAGCTGATTACCGATGTATTCGTCGATGGGATGATGAATGGCGAAGCATATGAGAACGTCCATCCGGACATGGTCGATTGTGATATCGCATTAGCTTGACTTTGAGATACACAAGATAGGACATGAAGAAAGAAGGGTTTATTAGTATTCATGTGTTGGGCCCCTCTCTCAAAACCTCATTTCTATCCTAGCCGCCTGTGGATTTGACTTGGCACCCTGTTCTTGACTCCTCAATAACCAAATCCACAATCCGTGCATCGAATATGGTTGCATGTACATTTGTTTCCATTGGCAACCCAATGAACCAGTCTACACCAATATATGCACTGCAGTACTGTAAGCTTTCTCAAGCTAGAATTGATCGATTCTAACTCGTACACATTGCCATTTCCCTTGAACACCTTCAGCGTTTTTGATCGGCTGTGCACCATCAGTTCCATCCAAAGACTATTGGGAGTCCTCTGGCTTACATATGATCTGGTTGATTTAGCCCTCTTGCCCACGTCTTTCGCTTTGCTCCGTGTTTGGGCCGGCATTTTGTGAGTAGGATGTAAACACTAGGTGCGATGCTGCGAGTTGCAACTGAAGAACGTGCTTATATCCGCAAAATACGAGATTCAGCAAGGCAACAAGTCTAAGTCACGCAACTGACGTGGCTGCGATTCTCTGGGCTGCTTGTGTCTCGCCTGGAGAAGCCTTGCCCTGCCTCGTTGATATTGGCCAGTCTCGTGCATCTCGCCCTACCTTTTCATGGTCCTCCGCCTCATTAATCCTGCTGCAGCGAGCTAAGCGTGGCTGTTCAAGTGCGCTTACGCTTGGCTCTACGGGGCTGAGGGTAAAGTCACGTGATATCATCTCACCCGTGGACCCTTGAACATGTGCTCAGCCTGGTCCAAGACGGATGCGCAACTATGGGACAGAAGCATGTTAGGAAGGTTCCTATCCAAAGCTCATCGTTTTAAAGTAATTTATCCACAGAAAAGGTGAAGCGGTCTGACAACATATTTATTGTGAATGATCACGATTGAATGAAGTGCAATGATACGAGTGGAGAGTGCCCATCGAAGGATCTGACCAAAAAACAAATGATTGCTCGATGAGATATCGAAGTCAGTATTCTTGATTCCTTGTGCCTTGCTCTGAACATTTGGTTTGGCCACCAAAGAAAAATCATCATCACCATTCACACTGAGATGAATGGGTTAATATAACACAACCCACAAAGCGCTCAGATTCCCAGAGCCATGTGGAAAAAACTTCGTCTGTTCGATTCGGAGGATTTGAACCAAATTAAATCCAGACGTGGGCCATGCGAACTCTGAACTGCGGTCGCTTGCAGTCGCATGTTTACCAATGCATCAGAACGTACATGCAATGTTATAGATGCGAGCACAAATGGCATGAGCAGCCGGCTGTTGCATAAATAAATGCATTCAAGTTTGCAGACAGCATATGCTGGCATTGCCAGCTGGATTGCGCTTCTGCAGCATTGAATAGCTACCAACGCTTCTTGCATGTACGCAATCTGCGCTCCATCCAATTGCCAACCCTGACATTGCAGGTTGCAAATGCTCTGTGGGGATCAAGCACGGGGCCGCAGGTAGTTCTGCAGCACTCTTACCTGCCAAGTAACGATGTTTCTGGGACTGCGTTTAAGTTGCGTGCCCAGGTGCTGGCCAAACGCTTTGAACGCGGTGTTTTGTCATAAGAGTGGACTACCTAGCGCTGTAAGCATTCTGAGCGCGCTGGCTGTTAGCAGCCGCTCGCTTTGCAGGTGGCAGATCGCACGTGGAGCTTGCGACCCTATCTTAGCACGCTACTGCATGCTGCCGCCTGACAAGCGAAGCTAGCGCATTCCGACCCGCTGGGTCGATTTTTGCGACCTTCGCTCCCGACCGGCGAAACTGCCAGACTGAATACTTCTTTAATCAAAAGAGCTTCTGGGGCCCAGAGATGCAATCTTCCTCGACTTCGCTTTTTCTGAGACCCTCCAATTCTCGCAGAGTTCTCTCGGGTCGCTAATGGACAGGGGTACAGACGAAGCATCGATTGACGGCGTTGATGAAACGATCGACAGCAGGGCCAATATAGCAGCAATCGTTGCCGGAGGTTGGTAGACTGGGGGGCAGTTGGCTGAAGGACGTTATATGGCAGTTGCAGGTCGGTAAACGTGCGAATAAGAGACTCCGAAGGGCCGGAGTGCGAGCCTGTCCCGTTACAACGTGCGTCCCGGCACTTAGGGACGAACGTGAGTGATATGGACTTACCGATAGTGTGCAACCGCTCCAGATTTTTACTCTGGAACAAGTTTCGGCAGGAGACAACAATGATTTTTATCCAATCAAAATCATTAACTCGGTTTGGGTGGTCCCAAAGGCCACATCTCATTTTACATGTGGACAACGCAGTCACCAATGCCCACGTCTTCGGGACATGTCGCACAGCTTGCAAGATCATCGTTTGCAAGCATAGGATTGATCATTAGGGCGCCCAGCATACTGTGCCGCTGATCCAGAGCTCGCAGTCTGCCTCGTGACTTGCCTCTTTAAGTACCTAGGTAGCTTCGTGAATCAATCCTAGACAGCCATTCAAACAAAGAACCGCTTGAACACCTTAACATATACTCGGGCAGGGAAGATGTGCGTGTATTGATTGTCGGAGGCTATGAACGTGACATTCCAAACTCTATATCTTGGGAATGAAGATCCGATTTCCAATTTACCACTCTACGAGCATTACCAAGAATGAAGCGAGGACGATGGAGGCAGTAGCAATGAAGTGACGGTGAGCTGACAGTTTGGACCCGCCGTTGGACAATTCGGGCGAAAAGGATGTCGCGAATGGCTGCTGTATGGGTCGCGATGCAGAAGCATTTGTCATAATGCCTGCACTGTAGCTTGAACTTCCACTCGTAGTCGCCTTTAGCGTACCTTCGCAAACTCCGTGTGCCTTTTGAGTAGATATGGGAGCATTGGAAGACTCAGTATGATCCCCCATCCATTGCCGGGATTTATTTTGAACACCGACCCCACGTCGCAGAGAGGCTCTGAAGGCGAATGTACAGAGTACAGCCACTGAGGTAACTCAGTGTTGATAAAGTGATCAAGGATGGCGGATCCGTTCTTGTCGATTGCCTCAATGCGTTCTCGTACACATCATACATCATGTTGACTTGATGCAATCTCGCTTGGATCCCCTTGATTTATACAGACCTGATCTGTCCAGAAAAGCGGGTTTGTATCGTGATGTTTAGGCTAGCAAAGGCTTTGAATTTAACACCATTCACGAGTAATTTCGAGTATCTTTGGTGTCCCCTGCGCAGTATGGGATGGCCGTATAAATATCCCGTGCCTCGGCGAGCGGTCGTTTATCGTTCAACGTAAAGATGTGCTCACCAGTTGCTGAATCTCTCGAGGCTTGCAGTAGCCGGATGTTACATTTATATTTGTCCAAAGAACAATATGGCTCTCGAGCGTAGAAGTTATGATTGATCGGGGAGTAGAAATTATCCGCAGGGGCCGAATCGTCTGCAGCGGTGTGTTTGTAGGCAGCCAGATCACGAAGCAGAATCTTCTTAGGTTCTTTATCCGTATCTTCGCCTTTGTGCTCGGTATGCTCAGAGAGAAGTGTTCTCCTTTTCTGTAAGCGTTCGGATCTGCGCTATCCGTCCGTGGTACTATCGTTGGCTTCCATTGTGTTTCTTCTCGTTCACAGACCGACCTTGTTAGCTTGGTATGGCAGAATGCTGGTGCAAGATGTATAGATCTTCATGGGAGATTCGAGCGAAAGTAGGAATGGAATGACCACTCGGCTTGGAAGTTCCAAGGTGACAAGGCTGAAACTGGCCGGTACTTTGTGGCTGAGTGGCGTTGACTAGCCAACTTACACCGCTTCGAGTATAATCGAAGGCTTGAACAGACCTCTGGCTGCGCTTTAAAGTTCTGAAGCGTTGCACAACCAGGACCGTGTAAGGCGCAATTGGCTGGGGCTTTTGCTGCTACACAGCCACCCGGAGCTTGTACCGATGTTGCCATGAGCGTCGAGCGCTGTCGCAGAAATCCACCAGCAACCGTAGGATTCGTGATAGAGAATGTGTGGAAGGGTTGAGATGATTGATTGATCTTGAGAGCTATTGGCTGGAATCGATCGAGACTATGTAGTAGAAGGGGGTAGCAGTGGAGGGTTGGGGAAGCAAACTGAACTAACCAAATGAGCTGGACGATCAGTGCAGTGGACCGCTGGCAAACACTGCAACGGTCCGCTGGCGAACAGAATGCAATGATCAACTCTAAGAAAATTTGGCTGCTGTAAAGTTGCTGTTTGGGAAGAATCACAGGAGGGATTGTTGCATCAAGGTGGAGGAAGCCACATGGCGTCATCATCTGTGACAAAACGATACCGCTGACGATTGCTCTTCTTATACAATCCTTCTGATGTAGCTTCATACATGTTTCGAATATCTCTACTTTAGTCTCTTGAAAGCTGGATCTATATTTCTAACTTCTGCAACAACGCACGCAGGATCCAGTTCTCCGAACCCGTGTCACATTCTAGTCTATCCAACCGTCCGGAAATCTGCTCTTGTGTACGCTGCAATACTCTCTTTGTATACCGCAAACTTCCCGCCTCCTCGAGCTCTATTAATATCAAAACTTTGCCCGCGTGCGATAGCCCTTCAGACGTTTGCCGTTGCCTCAACAGCTCGCGGAGTCTTCCTTCGCGTCCGTTGCACGACAAAGCATGAATTAGTGGAAAAGAAAATTTCCCCTCGTCTAGATCTTCGCAGAACCCCTTCTGATCAGCATACTCAGCTGATTGGAGATTCTGATAGTCGTCGCGGATCTGGAATTGGGAACCTATAAGACTGACAAGGGTTTCAATGCTATCAGCAAGCTGCCTGTCACAAGACTTCGGTGTTACAGCAAGCATCAGCCGTGCTAACAGTCGAAACAGACCTCCCGTCTTCTTATCGATCATATCAAGGTACTCCTTCTCCGAGGGGCAGATGCAGTGTCTTGTCCAGTACAGATCGTAACTTTGGCCGATGTGCAGCTCCTCCAGTGCTTCCAGCGTAATGTCGACTGCTGATGGGATACCAAGCTGCGTTGCCTCACCGACAGCTTTCAGGATCTCGTAGCATCCAGAGTTAATTGTCTGCGCAGTTCCAAAGACTTTGTGTGTCGCCGGCTGGCTGCGACGCAGGTCAGAGCCATCTTCGATGTCGTCAAGCATCAGAGATGCGGAATGCAGACGACTACCTAATAACTTGATGCGTGACACTGTCGGCTCAGGTACCGCAAGCCAAACGTTCAAAGCATCAACGAAGGTATCCCTGACGCCTTTTGAAGGAAGGGAGGTGATGTATTCGAAGGGCGCTCGAGCATGTCTGTCGTCTAGCTGGGCCGGTTCTGAACATTGCTTACGCTGGCGGTGATCATGATCGTAGTCGGCAGCGCGGGATGATCGCGAAGAAGCAGTAGAAATGTCATCGTCAATGGAGGAGCCATCGTCACTCTCAGTCGTGGTGGTCGTCTCGGTCGACTCTCGTCTTTGGTGCCTCGGAAGAGAAGTAAGTTCAACTTCATGGCCACGGCTGTTTCTTGCAGAGTGCACCTCGATAGGTACATGCGTATCTCCCAACCCACCAAAGAATCGGTCTGCTGTAAGCGAATCCTCAAGGCCTGCGTTCGAATCATATCTGTAACGTGGATGATATCGTGGGCAATTTAAGCTCCAAACGACGTTGCCACTGACCTGATAGGCCAACGCTCGTAGGTAACGGTCCACATGATCCGCCAATGGGCTGTTGTTGTGGCGGTACTCGGCGCACAGGTCAAGAAACTGTGCCTCGTAGCGTTGAGTTGCTTGTCTGACCATCTCCTTTGCAGCCGCAACATCCACGTCGTGCCACTTCATATGAAGCCAAACGGAGTTTGTGAGCGTCTGTGACTCGCCAGATGCTTGAAATTCGGCGTACTCGCGATCGAAGGAGAAGTAATCGTTCGCTAGGCCTAGAGCTGCGTAGCAGGGTTTCCGTACCGATTCGAGTTGATTATCTTCTTCATTGGTCAGGATGATACCCATGCCGAACAGAAGCATGGCTTCTACGAACCTGTTCCATATAACGTCAGGACAATTTGAATCTCGGGAAGTTATAAATATACTTACGGTGCGCCTGTATCAACGATGCGGAAGTCAACGTAGTCTTCAAGCGACGTAAACTGCCGGTCTTTGTCTCGCAAAGTGGTACAAAGCATCTCTTCCCATACATACTTCACTCGCTGTGCGCATGCTTTGTCGATCGCAGTGAGCTGTGTCATCATCTTTGCTTGTATCTGAGTCTTGCCCAATGCTGGGTTCGTGAAACTCCATTCTTGATTCTCTGATGTATCGGTAGGCCGCTGTCGACGTGTCAGTACTCCTATGAAACGGCTTCGTGATCATACAGGGTTCATACCGTTTCATTTGTCACAAGCTCGACCATGTTGTCATAGAGGAAAGCATCTACGTCCCAGTCAGCTTCTCATGGTAGTACAATAGGATGGCGCGTAATTAACTGACATTCGAGGATGTATGCTACAAGTCGCAGACGTTCTGGCCTGCAAAGTGGAAGCACCACCGCAGAGAAGTTACCATTGACAGGGTTGCAACCACCGAACTGCTCGACTAGCCCAATGTACTTGAGCCAATCTGACCTCGCCTCGTAACAGCCCGCATTGGCCTCAGTCTCGTGTATGTGCCTCCTCAGGGTGTAGTTGGAGCAGAGTCCTTTCGTATCATAGTCGGAAAGATTGACGATACACGACGTAGCGTCGTCTGAAGGAAGATTTTGTGTCATGATGCGAAGAAGATACCACAACGAGAACGAGATTTGATTGTGAAGCAGCTCCAAGAGACAGTTTTCATCTTACTTGTATACTGAAAGTGGCAACTACACCGTCTCTTCTGTGATGATGCTGCATCAGCACAGTGATGTCATGCTCGTCTCGATGCACAGATATGCAACAGTACGAATGGCAGTAACGAACTTGTGCAGGTGAACAAAGCTGCCGCTAGCTGAGCGACATATTGCCAAGATCGTGCGCAGTCTTTCTCCAGAGGGCCACAATTGGAGTCGGCCATCTGATGAATTACTGGTCTCTGCTGCGTGCCTATTGTACGGATAAGGTAGTCGATAAGATAACTTCGGCGAAGTCAGCTTAGTAGCTATATTCGTTGATGAGGATCCAATAGGAGTTCGATTGGAGGTGGAGAATGATGCTCTAGTCAGCCCGCCCTGGTGATCGTCTTGTCTAAGTGGGTCGAGGATGCGACTCTGTCGTTGCCCGTGGACCCACTTCACCTCAAACCTGGAGCCAGTATGTCTTCCGATTCGGTCGACATGCAAGGGAGATGTGCGCAGGCTCCAGATCTACCGGAGGGATCCGAAGACGGGAAGGAAGACCCCATATTTCGGATGCAGTCGCCAGTGTGATGCTCCACCTCTTCAACTTTTCGACGTCAAATGAACGTCAAGCGCCTTTGTTCATTCGGGCATGAGCCAGCCACGGTACCACTCTACAATCTGCCAGCGCAGCTGAGATGGTATGAGAAAGCTGGCATTGTTTGAGCATCTGAATAGGTAGGGTAGAAAACAGCAGGTGGCTCGAGGTTGTCGTAGATTGTACGGGTGTGTGACGTCACAACCGGTACGCAAACCACTAGCTTCTTGTTGTGCTCGAAACGCACGCTAAACAATTTCAGAAACACACCAATACACACGTGCCTCTGGCCAGCTTCGAGGCTGATGGCACCGAGAGGTCAGACATAGGCAGCTTCCCTGCGCTGCACTCCAAACCGAACAGTCTGGTTTAACCTCGCACCTTCAGGAATCTGGAATGCCTTCACCTCGAACCCATCATCTCCCAAACTTGCAACGACGTCGTCCCCGAACTCTACCCTGTCTTGCAGAAGCGTAACGAAGAACGGCACCCGTAGTAGCTTGTTAAGATGACGCTTGGTTAGCTCAAGCACCGCTTTGCGCAAAGCATCGAGGCGCGACTGCGTATTCTTCCACAGCAAGATGAGCGAATTGAGAAGGCGATCGATCGGCATGATCACAGACTCTCCACCAGCATGTCTGTTTGCCGGTGGTATACAGGGAAGCCAGGCACAGCGACATGGAGATCGGAAAGCTGACCGCCGGAGAGACCTAGGACGCCCGGCTTTATCTCGTGTTCTGCGATACCGAAGTAGGCATTGACGGCACACTCTTGTAATGCAGCAATGCCATATTTGCTGCTGACAAGTTAGGCGTGGATGTGGAAGTAAAGCGTCGTTAGAAGCCTAAACTCTGTGAACGCTCTCTTATCAAACATATAGTTGCTAGTCTCAATGAATTGGAGCATGGTGGTGATGGCGCATGGGAAGTCGTTGCGGAGGCGAACGCAACACGTAAGATCGTAGTCCAAGTCTGATGTCAGTTAGGTTTGAAGATCAGGGAAGGGCAAACAACTCGCCAGGAAATGACCATCAAGCAGTTGTGTGAAGAAGCCAGATGCACTGCATCATGGGTACTTGTCAACTTTGACGAGCTGCTTGTCCTTGTCGAACAGTATGATCACTTCGTTTGGATTGATCTCCGCGCAGTGACCGCGACCTTGTCAGCAGTTGCGTCAGACTGAGGACGCGGAGAGCTTACCTGGCGAAAGATGAAGTCGGCACAACCCTAACCGTTGCACGATTGCCTTGTTCATGGTATCGCAGAGGAGATGAAGGGAGCGATTAGCCTTGACTTTTCAAGGCTAGGTCCCTGAAGTTCAGTGCGCTTGATGTTAGTGGGTTTACTGCCGTTGTTGCATCGCTCAATGGAGAACTCTGGGCGTAGGAGTCGACGACGTCGCTCAACGACGAGCTGAGATCCGGTATGATGCAAGGTGAAGGCCCAAACATCGACTGACCACAGATAGTTGGTGGAGTTGGAAGAGGAGACTCGCGCAGCACCGGACTGTTGAAATGCTTGTTCCGCACAACAGGTGGCGGAAGGTCGCCAACACTAGGCTTCAGCTCTGGTCCCGGTCCTTTGCCATAAAGCTCACACCGTAAGGATGCATAGTTGTAGAGTGCAGAGTTGTCGTACTGTTGACCTGTAGTCAATCATGAGTCCACCAAATTTGAACGCATAGCCTTGAGAGCTTCAGGAAGTCTCAGGCTCATCAGCGTATGAGGCATCAGAGGATCCAAAGAAGATAGGATTGCGGTATGTTGGATCACCAGAGAGATACCCAGCCATTTCCTGCGTGCCGGCAGAGGCTTCAAGAGCGATAGCTTTTGTACTGACTAGGTAGCGCCAGGTCTAACGGATCTTTGAGACGTGAGACTGTCCTTCATTGGTGAGGTGGCAGGCAAAGACAACATGCGTGCACGCAACGTCATGCCTACCCCAGACAGCAATATATGCAAGGGAGCCAACTAGTTGCTGATAGAGCTTTATTTGAGCAGCTTCAGGCTCCTTGATAGACTGCGGCAGCCAGTTCTCTGTTAGTGGAACATTTGGAGCCTTGCCCACAGCCTCAATGCTGAATTGAGCGCACACCTTGTCAAAGAATGCATCTTACACTAGCCAAGCCTTATGTAGAGCTTGATTGCAAACGATTTGGATACCTAAAAACCAGGTAAGGTTTCCCATAGCCTTGAACTGTAAGAGATATCCATCTCCGTCTGTCTTGTACGTGAAGACCCACATCAACAGCAGTACCTTGCCGTCTGCTGTGGTCTTTGTGTGGTCAGTCCTTCCAAAGACACCTTTGGAGCGTAGATCTTGCCATTCAATCTCCATAACATATTAGAATTTGTTGCAGTGTCAGTCAGTCCTTACAAGACCCGATTACCCTTGCTTAGACTGTTCTGGACTAGCACGTTACAGGGCCAGTATATACCGTCTTCTCCTAGCTAGATAGCAACTCAGCGCAGTATTCCATCGTATTCTACAGCGGCCCACGCCGCCACATATTGGACTGAATTCACTGTGGCATGCATCCTGGGTCCGGTCAGCATTGTGTTGCTGAGAGTAATATGGGACTTTCCACGTCGACCTTGTGTGGATAGAAGTACGGGATGGTGATGAACGGTGAATGTCCTGTGAGCCCGTATCCACGTTATGTTCTAATCGCTTTTAGAAAGGGGAGATCTCCAGGAAAGGGTAGCATGTGCCAGATATAACATGTCGCTCGAGGCTCTTAAGGAGTGCAAAGCGACGTTTAGTCAGCCTACATATGGTCCAGAGCTCAGAAAGATTGTCGACAACTGTAACACTCGCAGCGAGAACGGTAAGCAGGGTGGCATTCTCACTGGCTCTTGTATCAAATGGAGACTCGACCCCAACGTGGTGCAACAAGAACACACCTTGACAGATAACTAACGCTTTCATTTGTAGCTATCATATCCCATTCTTTCTAGCATCTCTATCATGCAACAACTCCTTAATATGCTCGCTCAACCAATACTCATCCAAATCACTCAACCGCATATCCTTCGCACCCTTGATCGTCTTCTTACACTCACTCGTCTTACACAAGCACTCAAACGGCTGCGCCATACTCCACTCCGTACTCGGGTAGAAAAACGTCAACTCGTCACCCTCATTCAGCCCGCCCTCCAGATCAGGGTTGACGCGCACCTCCCAACTAGCCATGTCAAAGATTAAGGTGGGCGAGCAGGAGTGGTTGATGTAGACCAAGTCGCAGTTCAGCTCAATATGCAGGTTCTTGCCCGCTTGTACGGACGAGTATGCGACGGTTGCGGGCGTGGGCGTGGTTATGCGCGCGAAGAGGGCGCCGGCGGGGAGCGTGACGAGCGAGTACGAGGCGCTTGCGTAGTTCCCTGGCTGCTTGTCGACGCGCATGAGGCGTGTGAGGTCGGGGTTAACCCAAGCTGGGATTTCATCGTGGGGTTTCGAGGAAGTGGTCGAGGAAGACGCGATGACGGATTGTGTGGACGACTTGAGGGAGGTTTGTTCGCCGTTGGTGGGGGCGGGGGTAGGCGTTGCGTTCGAGACGGCTGCGGGAGACATGGTGGGGTGTAGTGAAGGAAAGGGGTTGGAGGTCAGTTCTGACAAGTGAATAGAGAGATTGGCGTGATGTTTGCGGAAGGAAGTCTGTCTAGCTTTGGTATTGAGCTTTTATTGAGTCTTAAGAGCCGGTCCGGCCACGTATTGTCACTCCAAGGATACCAGGCCCACTACAGGCCGCATCTCGAGCCTGTTTGTGGGGGTAGTGGGTTGCTCATGTCGCCAGAGAACGCGCTTTGTCAACTGACGCGATACCTCCGAGGTACCTAGGTACATCTTCCGTGAATAGGCCCGACAACGTAGTTGCGTGACACGCTGAATTTGCTTCTCTAGCATCTCCGTGTCGAACTGCGCATGCAGAAGGAACAGGTGTTGGACGTATGACAAGCACGGGAGAGGCTTGATGTTCAGGGTCGTCAGGCACAGTGATGTGCAGTCATGCAGTGACGGAGCTGCGTCCGGTCGCGGGGTGTTGTGAACTCGGCACGAACAGAGTGGGGCTAACTCGAATCCGGTCAAGCTTCAAATTGAAGAATGAGGGGCATGTGAAAGATGTGACATTTTCTGATGGTATGTGTGCATACCAGTGCAAGAGATAGACGAACCTTATAGATATATACAGGAGCAGAGTACCTTGATGAGCTCACAATCTGCAAGCTTGTCACGAAACGTGGAAAGAAAAGGCTTGTGTATTACAGCTCGTTCCATCCGTGCTAGACTGATCTGCACAAGCAAGATGGCCTTCGATCTGTGATACTGACGAGTGATCCTACAAGGATGTGATGGCCAGAAAATCTACAGTCACACCTCTCACTTCTCCGTCTCAACAATCCTCTCACTGTCCGTGGATCCCACTTTCCAGCCCCATCTTACTTGTGTCATATCCGTTCGACCTCAGGTACTCCCTGAAGTTTACATCCTCCTGATTGATAGTATCTTGCCCGATATGTGGCAATAGCAATACCAGGCCCGCAGCAAGGAAAGCCAGCGCACTTGCAACGAAGAATGGGTTGCGTCCAGCTGCAATCTTGTCATTACCGGCGGCAGTCTGCAAAGCATCAAGCGCATAAGACCCAGCAAACGCACCGATCTTGCCCACCGCAGCTGCGATACCGTAGTATTGGCCTCTGATACCAGTCGCGCACGTCTTTGAAGCAACTAATCCGATATTGTCACCAGGGCCAAACTCTCCAAGCGTAAGGAAGATTCCGTAGACAACCACGAAGCCGGCGACGTTCTCCGGCTTGCTCAACCACGGATAGCATCCTGCCATGATTAAACCGATGATGCCCTGCAGCGTTACGCCGATACACAGCGTTTTCTTGGGCCCCATAGATGGGAGGTCGGCGACGAAGGCACCAGCTAGACAACCAGGCATGTAGAAGAAGTTGATGAGGATATTCCACGCTAAGCTCTTCCACAGCGCTGTGTCTTCGCCAAGGAGATTGGCGAGAATCGAGGTTGCGTAGATGCCGAAGGAGTAGGCGCTGAAGTCGTAGATGAACCAGATGATGCTAACGATGGAAAGGCGGAACCAGTAGAACCTAGCGACCAGCAGCCATGGTGTCTTTGCCTTCGCTAAAGACTCTCTCTTGAATGCTTCGGGCTCATGAAGCTTCAAACGCAGATAGAGCAGGGAAAGAGGTGGAATGATGCCAATGCCCAAACAGATACGCCATGCAACACGCAGGTGGTTTTCGCCGGTGATCAGAACGACAACGGTCGCGACGATGGCGGAGATAAAGAATGCAAGGTCGATCTGCACGTTAGTGAAGAGGATGAACCATTTGTTGCGGCTGCCAGATTTTAGCTCGCCGGTCGATTCTGCACAGCCCACTGAGCCGGCTGGGTACTCGCCGCCGATGCCTGATAATTTTGTCAATCGAAACTCCTATGATGAGCAGAGGTCTAAGAATGTGATATGTCTTACCAATGCCCAGGAAGAATCGATACGCAACGAGAGCCGCGAGCAAGCCTGACGGGCTACCACCTGCGCCGTACGACCCTGTGCCGAGGGCAGCGAAGAGAATGATGATGATTGTTGATGCAAAGAGTGACCATTTGCGTGAGAAATGGTCAGACGTGTACCCAAAGAATAGCATACCCACGACGGTACCGGCGAAGGTGATACTTGCTACATTTGCTTGGGCGGACGACGTTATATATGCATCAGGGTAGATCCGTGAGAGCATAGTGTTGACAGGGCCAATGATCTGGGACGACTGTCAGTAGTGTATATCATATTGCATGGGAAGTGAAGTTGCATGGGGTGAGGAGCCGCATTGAAGTTGCAGTGCTGTTTGGGTCGTGTTGCGTAGGAAAGTGTCGCTTTGGCGTTGTCGTACGTTGTTGAGGTACCCGTCACTGAACAGTCCGGCACCGCATGCAATCACTGGCCACAGGCGTTCCCATCTTCCCTTGTCAACGTTTGCGATGCTGGTGTGCCGTTCAGCATCATCATTGCTCGAGTTCCGTAGCTTGGGAGATGCTTCTTTTGCAGAAGCCATCCTCGAGTCAGATGGAATGCGCAAGGCGCAGCTTGAAGTCTTTTAGCAATAGCGATTGTGAGATAATGAAGGCTGCGTAAGGTAAGTTGATAGTTGACGTAAAAGGCGAACGTTTGGAGCAAGGCCGCAACGATTTCGATAAACGGCAGCAATGATCAGCTCTTTATGCAAAAGCGCTGAGGTCGGTCCCTCGCATCTGGTTCGTTGCCCCGGGCCCGCATTTCGTGCCACCCAAAGACTGAGCGTGTGATCCCCACTTCCAGCCTCTTGCAACTTCTTCAACAGGCAACGCGTAACCTTGCTCTTGGAGTGCAGGCAGTGGGAGCTCAGAGAAAGTTTTCTCGGACGCGGTAGGGCGTGAGAGCTATGCTTGAAAGGGAAGTGTGTCGTGTGCACAAGCACATGTCTGGCGGGAATATCGAATTACACTGAACGCTTTGGCATCAGTAATACGTTCGACCCTTGGTCTCTGTGCAGCGCATCGTGTGTAAGTGATGCGTCGGCAAGTGATACGCAAGTGGATGACTGCAATGAAGACGTACTCCGTTCAAAGATCACGATTTCGATATCGTTGTCCATCACCAAGCTTTCCCGTCAAGCTGATAAGCATCCCCACAAGCATCAGCGGCGTTGGAAAAAGCTAGCTGCGTTTAGCGCCACCTCGGCCCCCGGCAAAGCTTTCTATCACCGGCAGTCCATGATTGGCCAAAGCTCGTTGTTGTAAACGCATGCTTTCACAATTAAAGGCATTCGAATCTGTGACCGTTCAGGCGGAAAGTAAGAGTTGGTGTTCGTGTCAGGCAGAGTTCAAGTCCTCCAAAGCACTATCCTGACCATATGTTGCTTGTTTAAAGCACTTGTTCCTCAAAGTGACGGTGGTTGTCGAAGGTCGAATTTCCTGTTCACGGTCACTAGCATTTTGAGGACAGTTTGGAATAGCTTATTGAGCGTTTGTTGTTGAAGCTAATATGTGTGTAGTCTGCAAGATGTTGGGTTGTAATCGAATGGAAAAGAACCAGCCCTTGTGCTGCAACAAGGCTAAAAGCAGACTTGCATGCTCTCTGACATCACAACCTGCCTGCGACAGATGTCGATTGACTTTTTCGTCCTCCAAGAAAACAGGGAGCTTGACTCCAAGGACGATTTATCGTTTCGTATAGAGTACGGCCCGTCTGCGGGACGCTTTGAACTTTATCGGACCGTGTTCAGTTCGGTATCCGAATAGCCTCATCCTGCAACGTTCATTCTCACCAGTCGCTGCAGTGTGCGCGCTAGCCAGTCAGCTCTCACCCCGTGCAGGTCAGCTTTGACCTTCAATCAACTCCACAACAAACACACAAAATCGCCTAGAGCTTGCTGCCGTGCACAATGCACCTCATCTCGCGCTCCACAGAAGAAGGCCCGTCATACAAACGGCACGATTGCGGTCGAACCTTGTGGCGCACGACTCAGGCTCGCGACACCTACCCCGAGGGCGAGTGCGACAAACCAGCAACGGCAGACTGTATCCGCAGTCCATTGTGATCAGCGAACACCGAGACTGACACGTTGGTGACACCGTCCCGCAGCTCAGGCTGATGTATGGTTTGTGGACTGCTCACCGTGGAGATCGGAGGTGTTCTTTGGACGTGCAGTGGGACGACGCCCGCAGTAAGCAAACTAGGTACTCTCTGCTTACTGAGACTTCGTACTCGCAGGATTCGCTGCAAGAGAAGGAACAATTGCTGCCGGGTGCGGTAAGAAACCTGATTCGAATTCTTTCACCATACACAATCATGAAGCACCAACGAACAATCGCGCCGAACCCTAGATTGCCAAGGCTACGGTAATGTCTCAGGCAAGGCCACGCGCAGGGATGACGACCAACATGCACCTCTGGGGATGACAACACGCCCTTTGTTTGGTCGGCCCTTCGGGGTAGGGGTTCTTTCTTTTTGCTACAACACCATGCACTATCGACCTGCACGTGTTAAAAGCAAAGCTGAGATTGGCAAGTTGCCAGGGCCAGCGACAAGGTGTAATTTTCTGAACGTCCACTCGCAGTTGCAGATGCTGTTTGGGATATAAGGTTGCGGAAGCGGTCTCGAGGAGGGTAAGGCGGCACAAGGCGGTTTGCAAGCGGGAGGGCTCCGCGGGGAGTGGTTGTTCTGTTCATTCGTCGCTAACGGTTAAAGATGTCTCACCAACACCAAGTGTTCTGCACACCGTTCACACCAAGGATGCACGAACCACCTTGGGGTGGCGAGCAAACTGCCATCCATTGTCACGGACGCTCGCCTAGATACCGTCGGTACTGGGAACTGTGGACATCGGTGTCCGAAAATCATCCAACTTTCCAACAATATGGCAATCCCTGGCCCGTACACAACCGTTTGTGGCTAGCCGGAGCAGGAGAGCCCTGCATCATCGCACGACTAGAGTCGTGTTCGGTGCATGCAGGGAAATCTAACCCTTGGACATGGTGAGGCACAGCGGTTCCATGCTAGAACATTAAGGTTCAGTTCGCGGTTGTTGATCGTTGGATCACTCCCTATGCTTATATGTCTCCACGCCCCCTCGTTCTTTGGAGACCTATTCTCAGCCTCAATACTTGGGCGTTGTACCGAGACTTGTTTAGGTCCATCGGACTATGATGTAGAACAACTGAGGCACACCTAGCAACACGGACAATACACTGAGGACGTCCGATATATCCTTTGGCTATTCCGAACTGTTGTCAACGTCTCCAAGGATCGAATGCGCCATACAGCAGTGCTGAGCAACCTCTTTCACAAGCATGACTATATCACCAGCCGACGCAAGAGATGACCCCAGAAACGCACATCTCCCTCTGGTGAATCAGCCTCAGACGATCTTAGGGACGACGATTACGTTCCTGGTATGTGAAGCCTTACGCTTCCTCACATCAACCACCTTCCGCTTACTCGTAACTTCAGTCACTCGCCATACTAGCAGCAGGCCTGCGGTTGTGGAGTCGCTTTCGAGATCGCCTCTGGGGCTGGGATGATGCCTTCGTCTTCCTTGCTGGTATTGCCAGTATAGCTGGTGACAGCATTGTTTGCTTGAGTATGTCTAGACCATGATATTTGTAAGCCTAGTCGCCTCTAACTTCGACGTAGTGCCTTACAATGGGCTCGGTTTACACTTCTATACTCTCAGTCATAGTGATAAAGAAGCGTACTTTAAGGTCAGTCATGCCTTGTATGGTTCTGATGAACCTGGCGCGCAGTAGCTGACAACTGCCACAGTATGTATGGTTGAGCAACGCTGCTTACTGCGCCAGCACAACCTTCATAAAGTTGGCCATCCTCTTCCAGTACATGCGCCTCTTTGCCGAAACAACAACCTCCACCACCTCTCCGCAATACCGTCTCGCGCGAAAGTGTATCTGGTCCGTAATCATTGTATCTGCCACGTGGGGCTTTTCGTTCCTCATTCTTGCCCTGTTTCCTTGCCAGCCCATTGCTAAGAACTGGAATCCGACGTTGAAGGGCAAGTGTGTGGGCTGGGGCACCAAAGACCCAGGCAAGCTTTTTGCCATGTGGGCAGCTCACGCCGCTACCAACATGTTTCTTGACATTGTTGTCTTACTGTTGCCCTTACCGTTTCTTGGGATGCTACGGCTCGCAGGCAAGAGCAGAGTAGGGCTCATCGCTCTATTCGCTATGGGCGGAGTGTAAGTGGCCACGCATGGGTTCAGGTTCCTACCCACTAATTACCCTCCAGTGTCGCCGTTGTGTCAATAGGCCGCATGATCTCACTTTGCATGACTCGCGCCGGTACCATTCCTATTCTCGATATGACCTACTACACACCGGTTGTATACATATTCAGCGTCCTTGAAGTCAATATTGCCATCCTGTGCGCCTCGATTCCCATTTTCTGGCCCATCATCAGCTCCTTCGCCACCAACAAGATTCTAGTTGTCAACGAGATCGTTGTCCATGTCGAAGAATACCCAAAAACCAGCCTCGATGGCCGACCTGGCATCGGACTCGCGGAACAAGGTGCATGGAAGAGTCTACCCGAGTCTCCAGGCGTATTATCCCAGCAACAGCAACCCAGTCGCCTAAGCGCCATCGCCCGAACCTTCGAGCGCAGACTGAGCAAAGATTCAAGCACGAAAGCAGAGCACAAGAGCAAGAGTAGCATCGCGTCTTCCATCGGAAAGCCGTTCAGCAGAAGCGACAACAACAGGCCAGCGTCGAGATCGAGTTGGGAGTCCCAGCGCAATCTGTACAAGATGGCGAGTCAGCGAACTGGCAGTCTGACGAAGAGCGACTATGACTGGTTTGCGGAGACAGACAGGGACTGTGTGGGTAAGACGACGACGAAGATCGAGAAGGGCGAAAATCCGTTCAACACGCGGAGACCGTCGGAGACATGAAGGCAGGCAAAGGCAGAAAGCGTGTTTGGTTGTTATGATACCCTGGCGGTCGCGTTTGATTTCGTATGTAAGCAATGAACAAAGATCACACAAGGTCAGCTCGTCTTGTTGATCTCTCCACTCGACCAACAGTTCTTCGCCCACAATCTGTCTTCGAGTCAAGCCGACAATTGTGCAAGTAGTGCTTTCACACTTGCGCACTTATCTCATTCTCCACCAGCAAGATTTGCACAGCATATACTTCCATCCATACGACCCTATTCTCGCTAGTCCCAGATTCGATTCGGTCGTCAGGTTGCAGCACTGATCGTGCGCCGAGTACATTGATCAGAATTTCAAGAGCTCTAGCACGTTCTCTTTGAACATCGAGCAATCCCACCCAACCAGACGCTGGACACAACGGACAACGACAGACCAGCAGGTGCTGATGGTGCGCGAGAGAGAGAGAGAGAGGTGGCCAATTCCACACAACTAACTCAACCCCAAGGCCACACCTCTCGACTGTCCATCGAGACCTTGGACACAAAACATGATTGGAGCAAGCAGGGCTCCCCGTTCGAGCGACGGGTCAATCCATTGCAGTTTGCCAACCCTGCGAGTGGAAACCACGCCCACAAACGCTTGTTCAAACCCCAACATGAGTGAGGGCAGAGACGAGGATTTGCGAGCTCGCAGTCCCACGGGCCGGGCCGTGCCAGCGATCCAGCTCCATGTCCGCCCCTCAGGTGCTAGTGGATGCGAGATCCAAGCCGTTTACGTCGTCGTCCCGCTGTCACGGTAGGGAGCGTCCAGCATCACCGTGCTAGCACGCATCGCGCTGTTCGGAACACTGCCGCTTTGGCAAAACTATGAGCACAGCACCGACAGCGCATATCATGTTTCCCTTTGGTCTGTGCTTGTCTGCATGCTCAGCCTGCTTGCCTGTGCGTGGGTATCAACGCCAGACTCTTGGATGTGGATGTTCGTGTGGGCACCTTCTGCTTTGTTGAGTATCCTCCTCATTACCTCTTGCAAGTTCATATGCGCCGCACGCTCCATGCAAAGTCTTGTGAGTTGACCTATACGTGCTGTATTGCAAGGACGGTCAGCGCGCAATAGAGGTTCTGGAGAGTGGGAGGTCGAAGAACATGAGCTACTTCGCAGGGACTGGAACTGGGAGTGGCATTGCCTTAGTGATCGGCTGTCTGATTCAAGTATCGTGCATATGTACTCCAACATTCCCCCTCGTGGGGTACAGTATCTGACTTCAGAGCTGCGACTTCCCCTCCCTCCTCTGCCATTCAGATTCAGCTTTACATCACGTTCCAAATCAGACCTTCCCCCGGACCTTCCCCCGCCTTCTCATCCAACACCCTCAACTTGAAGCCTTCTACCACTTACTTGAACTCCCTCATAAAGTCCTCGTGGAACTTTACAAGCCTCTGTGTCCAGTCTGTTCCTGGTGCTAAGAATGTTGTCCTGAAGTGGAATGTGCCCTCCTTCTGCCCGAACCCTGTGCCAGCGACTGTGCACACACCTGTCGCATCGAGCATGCGGAAGCAATAGAATTCGTCGGCGGCGTGGCCCTCCTTCTTCGCCTGCTCGAGAGCCTTCTTGGGGAGCGTGATGGTGGGGAAGAGATACATGGAGCCCTTCGTACAGTTAGCTCGTCCCACAACTACGAGGGAGCCGGACAGCGGGGATAGTCTGGACGGTGAGAGGATGTGAGACCTGAAGAGTACTGACCTGCGGTTCCCCAACCTCCACGCCCTCCATCTTCTTAAACGCCTCATACAGCGCATACGCGCGCTCCTTCAGTCCCTTGAAAATGCCGTCGTACTCCTTCTTGTACAACTCATAACTCTCCTCGCCCTGCTTTGGCGGGTTGACCATCATCTCCACGATGCACTGCCCGATGACCGGCGGACACAGCTGGATCGAGATGAACTTGTAGATCTCAGCCGCAACCTCCGGATGGAAGCCGACTAACTCAAAGTATCCGCCGCGGTGTCCGCACTCGCCGACCATGCCCTTGGAAACCGAGTGCAGGGACGCGAGCTCGATGCGGTCGAACTGGCCGGGGGACTCTTTCTGCAGGTCGCGCAGTGCTTTCTTGAAGGAGATGAATTCGCCGATGAAGACGTTGGTCTGGTAGACCTCGTCTGCGATGACGACGAGCTTGTTCCTCGCCGCAAACTTCAGTACGCTCTTGATGTCCTCGGCAGGCAGCGAGGCACCCGTCGGGTTGCCCGGGTTGATGATGCAGATAGCCTTTACGTCTGTGCCCTCGCTCTTCGCCTTGTCGTAGCTCTCCTGGATCGCGGCCATGCTGGTGCCCCAGTTGGCGGACTCGTCGAGATAGTAGGGGACGCAGCGGGCGTCGAGGACGGAGAGGGTGGCGGTGTAGAGAGGGTACTGGGGGATGGGCACCATGATGCCGGTCTCTGGCTTTGCGCAGATGACGTGAAGGAGCGTGTTGACGCCGGACGAGGCGCCGTTGCTGAGGTATACGTTGTCGAATGTCGATGGGTAGCCGTCGCGGCGCTCGATGTATTCGGCGACCGACTGGCGGATGCCTGGTGCACCTTGGGACTGGGAGTATGCGCCCACGCTGTTGACCTCCTTCAGCAGCTTCCGTGCTCGCTGGACGACATCCTTCTTGTAGCCCAGACTCCCAGTGAGGACGTCCTCGTGCTGGAGCAGCAGCGGGTTCTCCAGCAGCGACGCGACCTGGCGGAAGAAGGTGATGGGCTTCTGGTCCAGCTGCTGCGGGTTGCCGATGTTGGCGGCGATGACGGTGTCGAAGGGCAGGTCTTTGCCCTCGCCCTTGGCCAGCTTTGCGCGGTACTGCTCCGACTTTACAGCGAGCTCGCCACGGACAGCATACTTGGCCGCGCGGACGTGTGGGTTGATGTTGTCGAGGGTGAGGACCGTCTCGGTCTCTGTGATACCGGACGACATGGTTCGGGCGTGGACGCGGAGCGAGGGCGACTGTAGTAGTAGTATGTGCGGCTGCGTACGCTGTGCGAAAGCAATGCGCGGTGCTGGAAGATAAGTGAGCGAGGAAGGGTATCAATGCCACGGAAAAGATCCAAAAGCAACGCTCGCTACAGATTGTGCGTCAAGAGCAGAACATGAGCCCCACCATCGTGGAGGGGTACAAAGCCCATCATGTACCCATCGGTCTCCGTTACTTGCCGGTCCACTTGCTCCAAGTGACCAAAGAGAGCGAGCGGACGTGGACTCAGGACGATAATGAAACGGCCGATAGTTACCTCCATGTCCAGCAGCGACGCCAGGCACCCTCCACGCCACGCTCCTCGCGACCGCGCTCAGGCGAAGGTGAGCCGATGACGGCGACATGGCCGTAGTGGGAGCTCTCGCCCTAGCTGCTTACCGACTGATCTCCACCCCACTCGCCCGCGGAAGAAGGGGCCCGTTCGCGTATCTGCCTGAAGCGCGTCTCGTTGCTCCGCGTGGGTATGCTGCATAAGCGTGGACGGGCAGGTGGTGAGTTGCAAGAGAGGATGGGAGGGATGCAGGACGAGAGCTGGGCTGAAGTTTATTGAACATCATCCCGCGTATCTACCCGCCCATGGTGACACCGGTCCCTGCGCGCTGCATACCGAGTTGCGGAGATAGCTGCGGGACCACGGCGATTAGGCGAGGCGTTCCGAGCTGAGGAAGCCTGGGCAGGGACCTTGGACGAAGCTGTGTCGGAGCACCTGCATGTATCTGTTTGAGAGGAAAGGGGATGCGGGGCAGGGCAGACGACGAGAGTACAGTGGAGGGGCGAGCGGTCTCTCGCGTTGGTGAGCTTGCCCACGCCTTGGTCAAAGAAAGTCGCCGTTCTGCATTTTCTCTGACGTTAGCGTAGTCGCACGCTTTTGTGATATTCTGCAAGGCTTCGCTCGACGGTTGCCGAACGTGACTGGATGGCCAGCGAGTGCGAGAGTACAGCGTTGATGTTGTTCATTTTGGCTTCATCCAGCCACTCGTCTGCCGAGCGGCTCTACGTCTACTGGGTTCAGATCATTACACATGTCCCATCGTGACTACACTCCACTACTGTCGCAAGCTCAACCGCGCTCGCTGCCCCTCAGCCTGACGGCCTGGCCGTACTTCTGCAGCTTGGTGATGAGCTGGTCGCCCTGCTTGACCACGTCCGCGTACTGCTTGTTCTTGTCGTCGGGTCGGTTGGTCTCGATGATGCCCTTGACGCGGTCGATGGTGCACGGGATGCGGTCGGCGGCGATGAACTTGGCGAGGTCCCTGGCTGTGGTTAGCATTTGTGTTGTCTGCATGCATGAAGGGGGGGAGGGGGGGGGGGCGGGGGAACGCACTTGTCGAGGAAGTCGACGGTGACGCCAAAGTCGTTCGCCATGCTCTGGAGACCGACGACGCGGTACGACTGCAGCAGCTGCTGGTAGCCCCGCAGCCTCATCTCACGCACGTACCAGCCGCGGTGCTCGAAGAGGTAGCGGTCCTGGCTGAGGAAGCTGGTCTCGACCTCGGCCAGGGCAGTGAAAAAGTTCTTGTAGTTGCCCTCGTACAGGCTCTTGACGAGCTTGGACAGCGGTGAGAAGTCCACGGCTACCTCCTTGTCCTGCTGGCCGCCGAGCGTTGTCAGGTTGACAGCAGTCGGGATCGGTGTCGCTGTGGAGCCTGAAGCATCCGCCATCTCCTCGTCGCCGGCTGCCGGTCCTGCTGACGTCTGCCCTGTGATAGCGGACAGCTTCTCCTCCGCGCTGCCGACAATCGCCTTGATCTCCGGTGCGTCTACGACCTTGGATTTGAAGTCTACCCGCTTCAGCGACGAGGAGCCGGCGAGGATGGCGTAGACGACGAGGTTCGAGTAGCTGCACAGCTCGTAGCTGGTGAATGTGGAGAGGCTGTCGAGGAGGAGGGGAGCGGCTTGCGCGTGTGACCGGACGGTGAGCAGATGCAGCCCGGTGTACGCCTTGAGACGGTTCCTGCGGTCCCAGTCACCGCCGCTCTCGACCAGCGCGGTCGCTCGCTCGATCGTCTTCTTTGCCAGCACCTTGTCGCCGAAGAAGAGCGCGACGCGTATTATGGCGAGGACAAGGTCGATCTTGGTGCCGAGGATGCCCGTCTTCTCGAACATGGCCTCGTAGCTGGCGATGGCTTTGTCCTGGTCACAGTCAGTACGCCTGCTTCCGCTGCCGCACGATGCATCGCACCTTGTCTCCTATGCGGTTGTACAGCTCCGCCCGCTTGCCCCGCGCAGCCTGCACTTCGGTCTCGCCTGCCTTCTCCGCCGCCTCGTCCTCCTCCTTCTGGATCGCCTCGAGCTCCTTCTCGTTCTCGGCCTTGAGGCTCTCGTACAGCTTCTCGTCCCACGAAAGCGGTGCGTGCAACAAGGGATTCCGTGTGGCGAGCATGCTGGCCATGCTGGCCGACGGTCTGCGCTGGGTCGGGGGCTGGTCTGCGGAGCCTTCGCCCGACGCATTCAGGACGCCTTCTGTTGGGTGGGCGAGATAGCGGTAGAGCGGGGCCATCTTGTTCTCGTGGACGGCCTCCTGCACCGTCTTGAGCGACGACTGCTTGGCGGACTTGGACGCGGCGGGATTGGTGAGCTGGAAGACACTCTGCGCCAGCTGCAGGTCCGGGTACTGGGCGAACTGCGGGTCACCCATGACGGCTGTTCGGCGGTGTGTATGGGCGAGGGAGGGAGTGGTGCAAGGCAAAGGGAGCGGTGGAAGGTAAAGGGAGCGGTGCAAGGTAAAGGTGGCGTGGGCGTGGGCGTGGGCGTGGGCGCGGGCGTGGGGATTGTTTGGCGGGTGGACGAGCGCGAAGATGCGGCGATGATGCACGCCTTGGCAAGCGCGGCGGAGCTGGAGCTAGGAGCCGCACCCTCCGCAGCTGTCTCGGCCAACTTTCACGTTGCAGCCCCGGAGGTACGCGCGAGAGAGAGAAAGCATCGAGTCTGCTTTGCTGCCTCAGAGCCTGTGGCCTCCTACGCTCAGCTACACACAACGCTGCGGCGACACTCAGCCGACTGCCGCCCTCCAGCGCGCCATGGCCGACAGGAAGCGCGGCCGCTCCCCGTCCCGATCGCGTTCACGCTCAAGATCACCACCGCGACAGCGCAAGCGACCCGGCGCCGCCTCCCGACTCTCCGTAGCCGACCGCGAAGCCGCGCGCAGACGGCAGCTGGAGCGAGAGCAGGAAGCCGCAAGGACTGCACAGCAGGAAGCTGCGTCTCGCGGAGTCCACGATGTCGTCAAGCAGCACTACAACATGGTCCCCGAGCGAGGCCGTGAGTGGCGGCAGACAGACAGCAAGATCAAGGGCCTGCGCAGCTACAACAACTGGGTGAAGTCGTCGCTCATACAAAAGTTCATTGGCGACGAGCGCAATCTCAAGATCCTCGACATAGGCTGCGGCAAGGGCGGCGACCTGCAGAAATGGCAGGCGTCCAGGAAAGTCGAGCTGTACGTGGGCTGCGACCCGGCAGACGTGTCCATCAAGCAGGCCAAGGACCGCTATGCGCAGATGCAGAAGAAGTCGCGTCGGCTCTTCCACGCCGAATTCTACGCCAAGGACTGCTTCGGCGAGTGGCTGGGCGACATACCCATCATACGGGAGATTGGCATCGACCCCGGTGTTGGGCCAGGCAACGCCGTGAGCCAGCGGTGGGGAGGCGGCGGCTGGGACATGGTCACGATGATGTTCTGCATGCACTACGCCTTCGAGAGCGAGGCAAAGGCCAAGGGCATGCTCCGCAACGTCGCCGGAGCGCTGAAGAAAGGCGGGCGCTTCATCGGCTGCATCCCCAACTCCGACATCCTCTCCGCCAAAGTCATCGACCACCACAAAGCGAACGGCACCGCGCCCGCCGACGCAACCGGCGCAGACGACGACGACGACGACGACGACGACGACCGCCCCGCATTCGCCAGCGACGACGAGGACGGCTGGGATCCGGAGAAGAGTCTCGACAGCCCGAAGCCTGACGAGTCTGAACACGCGGACGGCGGGAAGAAAGACGCGGACGGCGAGAAGAAAGACGCAGACGCCAAGGACGCGAACAACGATCAAGAAGACGGCCAGGTCGAAGAGGAAGGCTTCGCGTTCGGCAACACCATCTACCGCGTCAAATTCCCCGGCAAAACACCCCCAGACGGCACCTTCCGCCCCCCTTACGGCTGGAAGTACTTCTACTTCCTCGAGGAAGCCGTCGAAGCGCCCGAGTACGTGGTGCCGTGGGAGGCCTTCCGCGCTCTGGCCGAGGACTACAATCTGGAGCTGCAGTACAGGAAGCCGTTCAGAGAGGTCTGGGAGGAGCAGAAGGATGACCCTGAGCTGGGGCCGCTGAGTGAGCGCATGGGGGTCAGAGACCGCAGGACGGGGCAGCTGTCGACGAGTGAGGAGGAGTTGGCTGCTTCTGACTTCTACCACGCTTTCTGCTTCTACAAGGTCTAGGGGGCTCAGCCCATCTCAACAGCTCGAGAGCACTTGGGGACGGGCACTGCACCGACATGTACTATGAGCTTCATGCTTACTGGCGTTGGCGTTGGCGGACGGCATGTTGGCACAGCTCAAGAGAAGAGCCGTGATATCCGACTCATACGAGACATATTTACCAGCATTAGAAAAAAAAAACCCCTCCCATCACATCTTCACGTGCAAATGTAGCAATGTTTCCCGGCTCCCACCCACTCGCTCGTCACGCGAGGATTCTTTGTGCCGAGGCTGTCACAAGCCCTGGGAACGTTCCCCAGGGTGAACGATGTATGGAATCTTCTGCAGAAGAGAGGTTTGGGAAAACGGCGAGGCTAGCAGCGAAGACGATGCGGTTCAGGCAGAAATCTCTCCTTCAGAAGAGAGGTAGCAGCGAGGGTATCGAGTCTTACAAGGGTGCTTGATGGCACATAAGGAGACGGCGTGGAATGACTGGCTCGCCATTAGTATGCACAAGACAAATCACCGTGCGGCTAAATCGAGATGCTGAACTCGGCAAATCGAGTTGCGGAAAGGTTGATGTGAGACAACGCCAACCATGTACAATTTCCAGGTCGTGATCGAACGAGACACAACCTTGTAATGTATTCGACAAGGACGAACGAAGGGACCAACTTCCCAACACACACCTGTTGCGTTGCTTGCTTACGCAGTCTTCTTCCACTGACTCCACACCCCCAGCAGCGAACTCGTCGTACCCGCAAGTCCAACAATGCCGTCATCCAACTGCACCCACCCAAGTGCTGTGGCAGGAATTGTGATGTCGCAAAGATCGCTGACAAGCTGGACCTTGATCGCGTTCAGCTCCTTGGCAACCTTCTTCTGCTCAACAACCTTCTCGGGGTCACTGCTGGCAGCGACAGTAGCACTGCGACTCCTCAATCCATAGAGTGCGTACAAAGACTGCAGGATGGAGAACGAAATCCCGCTCAGCCACGCCTGGTTCGCAGTTCTCAACAGCTTGACGCTGTGTGTGTTCTTCTTGATCCCCGTGGCATCAAGAATATTCGCGGAATCGAAAAGCATGTAAAATGCATATCCGAGCTGGCGGCCCACGCTCGTGGCCTTGATCACGGGGTCGAGCGAGGTCGAGTCTGAAGCCACAGCCGCGGCTTTGAAGTGCTCGACGAATTTGCCGACGCGCATCAGCTTGCGCGCTGTGCCGAGCTGCTTCTTGGTGGCGTCGAAGGGCGCGATGGTGGAGAGGGGGCGGTTGGTGCGGTACAGGTACCATGCTAGGAAGCGGGAAAAGTATTGGAGGGTGCGGAGGACTTTGTCACGGCCGACTGGGTAGGGTTAATACACTGTTTCGTGACAGAAGGTGTGGTGACTGACTGGTCGTCGCAACGAACTTGAGGTAGTGCGACACCGTGGGGTGGTAGACGAGTGCGTCTGCGACCATCTTGTCTGCGTTTTCTTTGATCTTGATACAATCTTCTCAAAGTCGTCTTCAAGATGCGTCTAGCTTTGTCGCAAAAGCTATTTCGACAAGAGATGGATCACCAGACGAGATTGGTGTCAAGGCAAAGGGGGAAGTAGAGTTGATGGTGGATATCGGCTGACGGGTGACGAACCGACGGGTGGAGATAGGAAGTCGGGCTTTGATGCGGTTGCGGCAGCCGCGATGTCGCAAGCTGGGGAAAGCTTGTAACCAACCTCGGCAAAATGACACGGCCCTAGGTGTCGAGTCACGAGCCGGGTATCATTTCTACATCTGTAGCATGTGAAGCTACACCTCATTGTATTTGATCTGTGACAGTATTTGGATTCTCATGGTTTGCTTTCAGAATGTGCGTAGCAATGTGTGTTTTGTTTTATCTGGATTCAAGCAGCTGGACCTGGACCTATTGTGTGAAGCCATCACGTTTTCCCTGTCATCTCGTGCTCGACGAAGGGTACTTCAACAGCACACACCCTTGTCTTTGTCATTCCGTCAACCATTCTCTCGAACCCGATCTGATCAGACAGATCAACAACGCGTTATTCGTCTTTTACTTTTGTCTGACTGAGCAGTCCGTCTCTGAATTGTGTAACCAGAGTTCGTGCATATTCGACTTTGCGCACAACAGCTCAACACCGCTTTCTTTGTGTTATCGTGTCTTCCTGGATGATGAGGTAGGCTGGTTGGTACGCGAAAGCTTTATGAAATACCTCCTCCACTCCGCCGGTATCTTAAGCTGCCAACGTGGTAGCTACATTACCCTTATTCGAGCACAGCAGACGAAGAGCTTGGAGTTCGTTCAACGGCAGTCGTAAAGTGCACTCGTTCACTTTCGACCCAACATTGTACGCTTCTACTGCTGCAGCTGCATCCACACTCTTGACCTTCAACAGCGTACGAGCATCGGGTTCGGGCAATCCTAGCCATTCCGTGATTCGACTCACTTTCAATCCGTCCTTTTCTGGAGATGCTGGAGCCACAGCCACATCGTCGTTATGAGCGTGTAGGAGGTCAAGGGTTTGGAGCTGGGAGATTCCTAGTTGGGAGGTGAGCTGTATTTCTTTGGGGTATTCGTGTGCGGTCACCGAGGGCGGGTTCGGTACGAGGTTGCGTGCGGAGGGTGGAGACATCTTGAGACGCAGTATGAGGGGATGTGCGGAATCGGAGAGGGGGTTTTGTAGGCGTAACCGTGCCTCTTGTTGTTTGTGCGAAGTTTGCGTAGCATAGGTGATTGTGATTGCTACGGAAGAAGGGATGAATGCAAAAGGACAGTGGGTAAAGCGGTTTCAATACTGGCATTGAAGAAAAGGGTATGAGGGAATCGAAAGACAAGGAATAAGAATTTAGGCTCGATGTATGTGTAGATGCTCCGTTCTATTCGGCCTTTCTGCCAACAACGACGATGCTGCGTTCGTTAGCTCTCGACCGGGATCATCTTATATAAGAAGTGCACTTACAGAGGCCAGTAGGAATGACACCCAGGATCCTTCAACTCGCTTCTGACTTTCGCCAGGAGCACCTTCAACTCGTCAAGCGTCCAGCCGTCGTAGAATTTCAATAACCGCAAGCTCAACCCTTCGATGCCTTCCAACATCGCGCTCAGTTGCAGGAGCCCTGCGTCCCGGAGTCTTTTCTGCTTCGGCCAAGGTCCAATCGGCAGCTTAAACTCCCTCGCCGTGACATCCACAAACCCCACCTTCTCCAAACTCTCCTTCATAAACTCCACGCTGGTCCTGAGGTTCACGCCAACCTTCATCGCAGCTTTGCCTTGCTCTGTGCACCACGTGTGAAACGAGGTACCAGGGCTGCGCGAGGTGGGCTGGATGACGCCGAAGTAGTCCATCTCTTGCAGTTCGATGTAGCCACCGGGCTTGGTGTGGGCATAGGCTTGTCTGAAGAGCTTGTCCCAGTTACGTATACAACCTGTCATGGTGCGCATGTGCACGAGATCGAAGTGGTTGATTGGCCAGGTCCAGTCTGCTTCTGCGTCGTCGATTTCGAATTTGACATTTGGTGGGACCCTAGGAGTGTTAGCTTGGAGTTGTAGTAATGTCGAGACGACATGAAAGCTTTCGGACCGTCTGGTGGGCGAGAAGGGTGGAATAAAGAAAACGGGTGTGATGACAGAATTGGGTTGGACCAAATATGGCGTTGAAGCGTAGAATATACCCACCATGTTGGCTGGATGGGACTCAGGTCTGTTGCAGTGACGACAGCACTAGGGAACTGTTCACCAGCATCAATGGCCCATATCCCGGTTCCTGTTCCGATGTCGAGAATCTGCTGGGGGTTTTCGATCGGCGCAAACGTCACCTTGTCGCTGAAGACAAGTTGTATTGACGCATATTTGATGTCCAACCTGTCCTGCTCTTGCTCATCGTCCGGCAGGATGTACTCCCCGCTAGCCTGGTAAGCATGGTACCGTCTCCCGTTCTCGTAGTGGCCAGCCATGATGCTAGAGGTCAGAGAGGCCGTTTCAGACGCCAGATCACCATATGATGAGTCTGCATCTGAGTTGGACCACACATCAAGATCATTTGCGCCACCAGCAGCTACCTGCGAGCCGCTTTCACTTGCACTGGTCTCCATGGCCGGTTGTAATGTCCTCAAGCTCGTGCTGGCTACGTTCTGTGCCACTCGTTCAGCCACACGCTGACGTCCAAGCTCTTGCACGACTCTGCAAAATCTGGTGGAATGCAGATGGCCACGTGCTTTCCGATCGCAATGTAAGGTCACAACAGCGCTGTCGTGTCACAGCGGTACACAGCAACAAGGTCGAGATTTGGTTGCCCGATGGAACGAAGAATCTGGGCTCATGGTCTTCTTGTTCAGGGTTGACGTTTTGGCGGAGGTGCCCGGCGGCCTGGACGCGAGCAGCTGCCGCGCTGGCGCCGGCGAACGTCCTGCATGCGATGATCGCTGCCTCCTTTTCAGTGTTGGACCCACGTTTCTGCCGTCGACCATCAATTTGACCAATACGACGCATCGGGGAAGCATGCGTCACCCATGAGTGGTTTCACCGGCCATGTAATCGCCATCCTCTTCGGAGAAGCGTTGTTGGTCGTCTTGGTGTTGCATCGTGTGAGAGAGGGGCAGGCGGGGCAAAGGTGGGAGAAAAACAGTTTGCACTGCATGGGGCAAGAGCTGTGAAGGGCGTGGGCAAACTGCCGCAATCCATGAAGCCATGACGACACATCGAAATGAAGCTGCACACAACTTCGACTTCAGCCTCTTGTCAAGCCTATCTACTCTTCTAACGCGGCAATATAGGTCTGCCGTCCCTGCATAATCTTGAACCGTCGCTGCACGCTAGCAATTCAACCTTAGCTCGCTGGACTAAGCTCGAAGCTCCAGGACGTACACTACGACGGCCGACAACTCCTTTCCAGGGCTCTGGTTCACGACGTGCTGCACACGATTTGCCACACCATTCGACTGTTCAGGATGACGAATTCCACTAAGAGGGACTTGCATGTGCTGATCGTTGGTGCTGGTGAGTGAAACTGCATGAGGGTGTTAAGAATGGCATGGAAGGGTAGCTTGAAGCTAACGAGAGAGGCAGGCACGAGTGGACTGCTTGTAGCGCAGGGCCTGAAGAAGGTTTGTCAAGTCGAACACAAAAGCATCATCATCCTGACACCTTCATCTGCAGAATGGCATTGCGTTCACCATCTTCGAATCTGAGACAAGCACAACATACCAGACACGGCCTCGAGAATGGGGTATGACCCTTCATTGGGGCGCGTCCCATATCGCGTCTTGCCTTCCTGAGGACCTCGCTGCCCGCTTTCATGAAGCCTACGCCGATCCATCTCTGACACCTGACGCTGTGACTGGTTTGCCCATCCACAATGGCAAGACGGGAGACCTCATCTTGGAGATGGGAGCCGATCAGCCAGTGCGTGTTAGCCGGAAAAAGATGCGTAACCTGTTCAGCGAAGGCATCGACGTGCAGTACGGCAAGCAAGTTGTACGTGCCTACGTAATCGAGGACTCTTCGTCGCACGACAACGGACGAGTCAAGATTGAATTCAGGGACGGCGATCATGCAGTAGGCGATAATGTTGTTGGCACTGACGGCGCAAAATCGCTCCTCAGAGAGTCAATCGTTGGCTTCGAGGATGCCCAGCTGACGACTATTCCTGTGAATCTGTTCAATTTCTCGTACAGGTTCGATCCCGAGCTTTCTCTACGGATACGAGAGCACAACAAGATCTTCATAAACAGTATACACCCTGATCATGGGACCATGTACTGGTTGTCGAGTACGTTTTTACCCCTTGCATGCCCACCGATCGGCCCGCTGACCCGCAGTCAGTCATGGACGTCCCCGACCCTGACAAGCCGGAAACTTGGAGCTTTCAGGTCATGCAGAGCTGGAATGACAATACCACGCCCCCTTCTGTGGACCTGGCCACCAATGAGGGCCGCTTGAAGTTCTTCAAGGCACGCTGTGAAGAGTATGCCGAGCCCTGGCGCTCAGTTGGCCGCGCTGTCAAGGATGGCACTACTATCCCAATGGACCGTCTGACCTATTGGGAGAAGTCGAAGAAATGGGATAACAGAGGCGGAAGAATGACGCTCTGTGGAGATGCAGCCCATCCCATGACACCTCGTAAGTTTTCGCGTTCCTGTATTACCGTAGTCTACAATAAACCCTGGACCCCCACTCCCCAGATCTTATCACTGATACAATGCATTCTGCAGATCGCGGCCAAGGCTTGAACAACGCACTGCAAGACGCATCCAATTTCGTTAGCATCATGGTGTCTGTTTCCAAGGGCTCGGCAACCCTTGCCGAGGTAGTCCAAGCATACGACGATGAAGTCCTGGAGAGAGGTCAAACAGAGATGGACATCTCGCTGAAACAGTCCTACTTCGTTCACGACTGGGACAAACTCATGCAGAGTCCAATGGTGAAGATCGGTATGCACCAAGTCAAGAAGGGTGAAGTAGAGGAGAGCGCATGAAGTGTGCCTCGATGGTGATTATGAGACTTTCGCGAACGTGGTGCTTACGTCTGATTCCCTAATATACCTTATCAAACTCGAGACAATACTTGCCAGCTTCTCATTTGTTACAGTTTCGGCTCGGATGGCTTTCACTAATCCAGAGCAGACCCCTCAGCCGATGACAGTGGTAGCGGCGCCTATGAACCCTATCGAAACCGTAAAAAGGTACCTTTTTCGTCAGCATATACAAACATCACGCTGACTAGGGTGCACAGCAACGGTCGCAATCTCGATGACATTCCCAGTACCACCGACTTCGGCCATGCATAGAGATACGGATCCTGTCGGCATATATGGCTCGATTCCTATAGAGTAATTGTCCTCATTCCGGCTCCTTCGTGGCACCCTTGGTAGGCCCACGACCGTGGGTACACAGTCTGATATTTTCGCCGTCTACCAAAAGTTAGCAACTTTGACGAATCACGTTGTGCCCTTCTCCAATGCGGTTTCAGGGTCATTCCGACCACTGGCAGCATCATCGTCGGTACCTATTCGTCAACCCAACGATCCACAGGAAATATCATGCGCAGTTATTTTTTTCTCGCACACTCAAGAGCTTACCAAGGAAAATCGAGCATTCTTGGTTGTCTGGCTATATTTTGCCTTCTCTGACTACCTTGACAGCACAACACATATAGCTGAACGTGGCTGTTCAATGTCACTCCGCTGACCTCCTCCTGCAGTCTTCACTTTCGATATGCAGGCCTTTCCACAGTCGACGTCCTCTTCGAGGCGATCTTCGATCATACAGCCCACCATCAATGCCAGTCAATACTCTTTCGCCGAAACGGCTGTACAGTCCCCTTTCGCCTCCTGCGCAACATTCGTTCGCAACCAATCTTCCTCGACTTTAATCATGAATGGCGGCCTGCCATCGAAAGCTTCCTCGTTGAAGTACCTAGAGGGCTCGACACCTCCTGAAGAGCGGACAGTGAATTTTGGTCTGAACAACCATCATCATCATCAACAACAACAGATCAGCACCTCTAATCTGCCGTCCGACAAGGGTTGGCCACTCCGACCGTCCCTTCCGTCCTTTCCTTCTGAAGACTCAGGGACGTCATCAGAGAAATGGACACGTACCAAGGGGTTCTGGCGGTCCTTTATCGCAATGTGTCTGCCATTGCTGCTCTCCGCCCTTGAGGGGAGCGTCACAAACACCGCCCTACCGACTATCTCTGACGCGCTCAATCTCGGCACCAAGTTCTCGTGGGTTGCTACTGCTTTCCTTCTCGCAAGCACGATCTTCCAGCCGCTGTATAGCCAGCTTGGAGATATGTGGGGAAGGAAGATCCCAATGATGACAGCTGTCACCGTCTTCGCCATCGGAAGTGCGGTGTGCGGTGTCGCGAATTCCGGTGCTGTCCTTATCTTTGGACGAATCGTTCAAGGTCTTGGTACAGGCGGCATTGACTTGTTTGCCGAGATGATCCTGTGCGACATCATACCTTTGCGGAAGCGAGGCCCGTACCTTGCAATTAAGCACATCGTATTCGCCATAGGGACCTGCCTTGGACCACTCCTTGGCGGTGTCTTCGCGGAGATCAATTGGCGATGGTGTTTCTATATCAACATCCCCGTCTGTTTTATAGCCTTTGTCATCATCTACTTGTGGCTTGATGTCGGCGGAGGCATGAAATCCCAAGACGTTTCCGTCTTAGGTGAACTTATGAAGGTCGACTACCTAGGCACTGGACTACTCACTTTCTCCGTAGTCATGCTGCTCATCTCGCTCAGCACAGGCGGTGCACCCAATCCATGGTCTCATTGGTCTATCATCACACCCATGGTTTTTAGTGTCCTTGGCTTCGTTGCGCTTGCCTTCTGGGAACGCTCGAAGCGCTGCAAATATCCGATCATGCCACCGCATGTATTCTCAAATCGCACAACTGTCATTTCCTTCGCCTTGACAACTATCCATGGTTTCATCACCTATGGCTTCCAATTCTATCTTCCACCGTTCTTCCAGGCTGTGAAGGGATCATCGCCAAGTCAGTCTGGAGTCGAAGTTATGCCCACAACACTGGCAGTCGTGATGTGTGCTGCCATTGGCGGCCCGCTCATGACCCTCTGGGGCAAGTACAAGCCGATGCACATTGTTGGTTTCGGAATTATGACCACCGGCCTAAGCTTGTGCGTACTTCTAGGCCCTTCGACTCCATTCTCGGTCTGGCTCATTCTCCAGCTTGTCGTCGCTGGGGGCCTTGGAATCGTCATCTCCACGATGCTGGCAGCCGTTCAGGTCAAGCTGCCTGAGAGCAGCACTGGCGCAGCAGCCGGATCCTGGGCTTTTCTTCGCGGCACAGGATCTCTCTTCGGTGTTGCTGTTCCTGGTGCTGTGTTCAATGTGCGCTTCACCTCGCTTCTGTCTACCATCCCTAGCAAGAACGCGCGCTGGCAACTCGCAAAGGGGCAAGCATACCAACACGCATCTGCAGCCTTCGTCAGCAGCTTTGGCCCGAAGAACAAGGTACAGATCGTTAACACTTTCAATGAAAGTTTGAAAAGCGTTTGGATTGTATTCGCTATTCTCGCTGGCATTGGGTTCCTGATGACCTTCGGAGAGAAGCAACACAAGATGCGCAAGCAACTTAACACCAAGTACGGCTTGAAGAGCGCACCGCAGACACCGGCACCAACAGCACCGCCAACTATGCCTCCTACTGCAATGCCTACGCCAGTCATGACACGCTTCGATGGGATGTCCGAGTATCCGATGATGGAGATTCCATTGCAGGAGCGACCAAGAGAGACTGTTTGAGATGACACCAAACTGTACAGTGGTGCATAGCGCGGTGAAGGGTGTATGCGTGGCGGAGGATATACTCTGGCATCTACTTAGGTCAATGGTGTTTTTCTTCTTTCTTTGTCAAATTACTCACATATCCAGGCTCACATCACGCCAGGACTAGCTCAGTTTCCTTTATTTCATCGGCGTTACTCCTTAGGGTCTACCTATTGTAGCAGCTACACGATGATCACTCACTCTGTCCTTGCTTCACACACGATCTTCTACCACGATTAAAATTTTGTAATACACAATCATTCTTCTTAGCCTATTCAACAAACTAGCTTCTGAGTCTCACCCTCTGGTATCCTGCACAAGTGAGACCAAAGCTCTACACCGCATTCGCAGTATAAAACAAGATAGCATCCTGGATCACATTATGAATATTCGCAACCCCATCAGCGCCCTCCTTGATCTTCGCCTCTCCCACTCCGGGATTCACTTTCGCAAATGTCGCAGCACTGAAGGTGTCGTGATCGGACAGCAGGAGTACCAGACTCGCGATCACCACTGGGATCAAGAGGCCTTCTTTGAACGCGGGCAGTTTCTCTTTTAGGTGCTTGGTTGTGGAGGGAATGGACTTGTTCACTGCGTCATATGTCAGTCATCAGCCGCCCAATCTCAGACCATCATGGGCGGGAAGGAGGGGTCAAGTACCAGTGTTCGTCACCGTACTAATCACGTCATTCGAGTCCGGCACCGTAAACGGAAGCGTGGCCAGTGCATGACGGAAGCCTGCGCGGTTCACTTCGTGGATCTTCGCTACGCCGAGTAGTACGGGGGTTCCGTCCACCAGCGATGTTGGGAATGGTGAGCCATCATAGGCTTGGACTGTTGCATCGAGCTCGAATACGGCGTTGTGGATGTTGATAATGTCTTGTTTCACGGTTTGGCCCGTTGGGAGGATGGATTGCGGGATGGCAATGGAGGATGCAAGGGGCAGGAGAGCAAAGAGTAGAAAGATGGAGGGTGATGGGATGAACATCTTGGGATAAGATAGTTATAGGTAGTCCTGAGGTGCTTGATCAAACTTCGTATGGTATTGAGAGTCTCGTGAGACGGGGATGGGGCTTTGGAATGTGGTGAGGATGTCTAAAATCACGACTCTGGCACGATGTAAGTACCTGCTTGATCTTCACAAGTACCGACCTCGGTATTTGTTGGCGCCAAAGCTAGGACACGATAGTTTGGTGATTTGTAGATCATGCTGTTGTTCTGGTTACGCTACAGCTCTAAGGCGTGGGAAGAGGCTCGGACTAAGCTCTCAGTGGCTGCGCTAGAGTATGGATCGACCCGCGAATGATGCTGGTGATGATCATCCGTGAAGGTGCAGCCAGATGTGCATTTTGGGGAATCCGAGCGACCATGGAGTTCTGACAATCTGTTTCCATGGCCGTCTTTTGAAGCAGTGCTGAGCGGATCGTCTGTGCAAAACATGAAGGTTGTGCCGACGTGCGTTTGATTAAACGAACCACACATGGTTGCTCAGAACATTACTGCAGAGCGCGGGGGGATCGAAGATGCATCTCTGCTGCTTCTACTCTGTACAAACGCGATAGGTGATGTTGAAGATTTGCGAATGGTGTACTGTATACAAGTTGTGGGCTGACCAGCCACTTTACCATAGTTACCCCGCCACCTCATTTCCCCCGCCATTCCTTCATGTATGTTGTGCAGTATCGGACGGCGATTCTGGCGTACCATTTATATCTACTACATGCTCTTTCAAGGCTGAAATCGACTCCTCGGGGTTCTAACTGACGTCGACAATGTCTCACCACGGGTGATTGTTGGCCTCATGGTCCACATAGCCAACTACGGAACGGCAACCGTGCGGCACATTTACGGCGATTGAACAAGACCTAATATAAACAGATGGAAAACCTGCTTGCTGAATCATTCCATCACACCGATGCAACAGTTTGCATACACAACGGGGGAGAACGCAACAGACGGCACTATGATCATAGATGTGATGGATCTGCTCTATACTGGTCGCCTCTCCAGCTTCTGTATTGTGTCCAGCGATAGCGACTTCACGCGTCTTGCGGCCCGGATCCGCGAGCAGGGTGTTACCGTGTATGGCTTTGATGAACGAAAAACCAACAATGCGTTTATTGCGGCCTGCGACAAATTCGTCTACTTCGATGTACTACCCATGCCGACCGCCGAAGTGAAGATGCCTTTGATCCAGCACCAAGCACCACAATCTTCCCCCAACTTAAGTGCACCAGCAACTACAACCGTCGAGCCTTTTGGTCCAAGGCCGATCGACAAAGCAGGTTTCGGTGCCATGAGGAGAGCCATCGTTGCTAGCATGGATGATGGAGATAATTGTGCTGACCTGGCGAATGTTGGCCATTATCTAAGGAGAATTTCTCATGATCTTAATGCTCGCAACTACGGCTACAGGCGGTTGGAGGATTTTGTGGAGGCCTCCAGGATCGTGGATGTAAGACTGAAGACGTTTAAGAACAGAACACCAGTTGTTTTGGTTCGTTTGGAGGAACACAAGCCGGCCAAGAGAAATTTTGACCAGATAGAATAGAGATCGAGCTCAGCACGGTTCCTCAGGAAGCCATGTGGCAAAGCGGTGTCCTGGAGGACCTCGGTGTATTTGGGGGGCATAGAGAAGCCTCAATTCTCTTCGAAGATCTGCATCCAGCTTGTATCGTATATATTGCGAAGAGTGAGATTCCTACTTCTCTGGTGATTCATCGAGTATGCCAGCTCCATGTATGCAGTCTCATCCACTCTTGCTGTGTGAGCGGACGTGTGTGGTTTGGTGCGCCAGCAGGCTGTAGAGGTACACGAAAGTCCTCATCTGTGACGTATTCCTGGAGTTTCTTCTTCGGTTGTGAGATACTGGAAAGTTGCGCCTGTGTAGCTTTGCGCTTGAGCGTGATGTTGAGTGTCGAATTCATTTTGTCTGTGTGGTTGTACGTTTGACTGAAAGCAAAGCAACGTCGAAAGTGCTGGGTAAATGCGAGAACGCTTGCTCGAGAATGCGATACTGGCGGAGTATGTTGAAGTGTGTTGAAAGAGAGTGAAGTCCAGGAGCGTCAACAAAAGTTTTGGTGATGCGCTGTTAGCGAGTTTCAGTTGTGACAAACCTTATCGCGGTAAGATCCTACGGCTCGCCTGAAGTTCATTGTCTGACACTCGCGCAGTGTCTTTGAGCCTTGAAGGAGATTGTGGTGATGTCGTTATGGTGTCTTGACGTCTTGTTCTGAGGTTTGTGCCTCAGGCCATTGTTTGTGTGAAGAATTCAAGTGCTCGATTATTTGCTGCTCTGACCCCTGTCCGCCAAGGCGGAGTACACCGCCAGTATCTCCGTCGTGAATATTAGTGTGGGTTGGTTCGATCGTTCACAACTCCGCGTAATGGTGTACAGACAAGCATTGTGAGCGTGAGGACGCGTGTAGCTCGGGTGGAAAGGCTGCATTTCTGGACGTGGTGCACCCTGCCGTAGAGCCTTGGGTACGGTTCTACTGTTTCAAGTTTTGAAAGAGTGACGATGAGGTCTGTGTTTCTCCGGAAGACCGCTGGTCAGCATGAGATGCCCAGAGAGGAGCATCTTGCGATTGTGGAGTACTTTAATCTATGGACGCGTAATGGTGAAGAAGACTTGTCAGTGGGAGCGATATAACCGCGCACGCAGCTATGATATTGCTGACCGACGCTTCTGCGCAGTCTGCCTCGTCAGGAGCATCATCGCAAGGCGTTGATCTTCAAGCCCCGTGTATGATGCTCGGACCTGTGAGGCTCTGAGGAGGCTGTGCACCGTACCAAACATCGTGAAACTGTTGTGCAAGCTTCATCTAACTGACACAAGACTTCGTGGCACACATGTGTTGACAGCATGGCTTGACAGCATAGCTTGACCACTTCTCTGTTGACATCGAGGCCGTCGAGAAGACAAGCAAACCTTGAGCAAGTAAGAGAAGCAAAAGTGAACGAATTGTGGCTGGTTCTAAGAATAACGACAGAACCGCATAAGTCCGTCACTGCCTTGTCGATGTTGGGGAAGGCGCGAGCGGGGCGCAGACAGGGGTCACCAGGGCTGCGCCTGGTAAACGCGTATCGACGTGAACATTTGAACATCATGACTCCTGCTGGCCACAGGTTTGTTCAAACCTCCTGTTGCTTTGACCTCTTCCTGTACATATCAAACTCACGTAGCACTCATTCTAGCACGTGATATGCCGCAATGCTAGACGAGAATCTACCCAGTGCGCTCAGCCTTACCTTACTATGAATCGATGACATAGCTGCTAATGCACCCCAGCTTTCTTTCTGAAGGCCACCGACAAAGCCAACAAGCACCAAGAATCCTTTCTCTTCACCCAGAACGGCTCTGAGCCCGAAGCGCAATATGCGCTCAATCACGTTGACCCTGCCTCGAACACAGCAAAGAACACATACGCGGTAGCCCTCTACGACTCGCACAACCCAGACATCCTCTTTGGTGAAGTGTTGGCAAAGCCTGGCTGGTCACATCCGACACTCTCGCAGGAAGAGATTCGCAAGAATGGCGGAGTACCACCTCCGCCTGAGCCTATCTTCCCTGATCAATTCGCCATCCAGCTGTACAACCCTGATACGCAAATTATAGTCAAGGAGCAGAAGTCGAAATGGAGCGGAACGCAGAGCTGGGAGTTCAGCATACCGCAGGTGACTTTCCGCACGCCAAGTGCCTCGACGCTCGACCGTACGCAGAACGACCCCGGCACTGACGCGAACACACCACGGGTAAACTTTGTCTGGCGGAAGGAAGGCAGATATGGCAAGGACATGACGTGCTACTTGACGGGCAAGTCAACAGACTTGGTGGGCAAGAAGGCCAAGAAGAGCAAAGAGCCCGACATTGCGGTGGCTTTGTTCACGATGCTGAAGGAGATGACCATTATGGAACCGAATCTCTACCGCATCGAGATCGAGGACTATAAGGGACTGGAAGTGGTGCTATTGCTCAGCGCAGCAGTCATCAGGGACATGTTCATCAACAACCAGCGAGAGGCCTTCCACATCGTCGACCCCGTCGGTCGCAAGAATAGCGGTGGCATTCTGACACGAAAGGCTTCTTCGCCGCTCGTAGGACCGGGCATCACTCCGCCTATGATGACGCCGCAGCCTCCTCCGCCACCTCCATACACCGGCCCATCACAATACCCGGCTGAAAAGGTAGCACAAGCTTCTACAGCCGGAACTCAGGCTGCTGCCGCACCTACTACAGCACCCTTAGCCAGCTTTGCCAACCATGCTGCGCAGCGCTCATCCCTATCCCCTCTACAGACACAGACTCAGCAAACACCTCCTCGACACCAGCAATCGCCTCCTCGACACCAGCAATCTCGACCTCAACAGCCTCAGCAGCCAATTTCACGACCACAACAACGTCTACAATCCCAGCAGAATGCTGTACATCCACAACGACCGCAGCAGAGGACCGCTCAGCGCCCGCAACACCCCACGCAAGCTCCACCGCAGCAGCCCCCACGCCTCGACCCACGTGCACAATGGGAGATAGATGCAGAGACAGCTCGTCTGAAAGCTGCAGTCGAGGCTGAGGCTCGCAAGCAGAAGAAGCAGGAAGAGGTTGCTCGGAAGGCGCGCCGCAAGGCCGAAACTGAGGAAGAGCGGAAGACAATGCAGTTCCTTGAGAACGAACGCAAGTCCAAGGAGAGGGAGGAGAAGGAGCGTCGGCGCAAACAGGCAGAAGTAGACAAGGAGACTGAACGTTTGCGAAAGCAGTTTGGTGATCAGTCAAATCTGATGGGCTCGCAGCAACAGGCGCGCCCACAACCACAACCTCAGCGTCATTCAGCGCCACACGTCCAGTTCCAAACCCAAAGACCTGGTCCATCCCGGCCGCAGCAACATCCCGCGCCGGTGCCTGCGCAACCCGTGTTCGCCGCAGGGCCTTACTTGCAGCCTGGTGGGCATCGACCCACAGCGAGCGCGAGTAGCTTCTTCAGCACCGGGCTGCCAAAGCCGCAGGCGGGGCAAGCACCCATGAAGGCCAAGAAGAGTTTCTGGGGACTGAGGTCAAGCAGTGAGACCAACGCAGAGAAGTTGAAGAAGAAGAAGAGCAGCATGTTTTAGGCGATGATGACTGGCTCACAGTCAGGGCATATGCATTACCGGCGTTCCTGGAGATTCTAACCTCAACCTGGGAATTTTACTTCATTTCATAGACGACCACCTTTATGATACCACTTTCCACACCAAGAGCGTGTTCATTCATCCCTGTGAAGTTCATTCTTTGTAACTTTTCGCTTATTGTTGGCGTGCATACCGTGTCCGTGCGCGTGACGCCCGGAGTCGCGTGCCGCCCAATCATCAAAACAGCACCCATACTTCAACGCGTCATAACTCAACAACCATTACAGGTATCAAAGAAGCGCTTGAAGAAATTGAAAATTTGAAGCCAGATGAACAATTTGTGTATACAAAAATTGCAGAAAAACATGGTGTTGATTGCTCAACGCTGTTGCGAAAACACAAGCAGGTTCAGTCTGACCGAGAGACCAAGAAATCAACCAACAAAAACTCAACCCACATCAGGAGCTGGAGCTTGTACAGTATATAGAGCAGCTTACGGCTCGTCATATACCTCCTACAAGAGAGATGGTAGCAAATTTTGCATCATCTATTGCCCAGGGATCAGTCAGTGACAGCTGGGTCACACGCTTCCTCAGCCGGCATTCTATCCATCTCATCTCCCATTATTCCACAGGCATGGACTCCAATTGCCACAAAGCTGATTTGTACACCAAGTATAAGCAATACTTTGACCTCCTACAGGAGAAGCTGGCCAGGTATCACATTGAGCCATGTGATACATACAATATGGATGAGAAGGGCTTCATGATCGGCATCACTGTATAACAACACAGGTAAGAGAGGACTCCGATATGGGTTCGAATCCGCTACGAGGTGTATGGGAGCACTGGGATAGATAGAACTTGGAGTAACCCTCTATTCCTATAGGTCTTGTACAAAAGGATACTCAAAAACTATCTACCATAACTATGTACACTGCCCTGCTTATATACCTAACCGTTCGATGTAGCTCGGGGGATACCGGTACATAGTAGGGTAGGGATTGGATATGTCACGAAGATGCTACGAGTAGGCCCTTTAGGACTTGCTAGGAGTCTAAATCAATTACTACATACGGTATCTAAGTAGGTACAAGACATTGTGTACCGAACAGAACTCTACCAGCAATAGTCTATATACTTACGTGTGGGTTTGTTCGGTTACCGGTTAATAATCGGAACTGAGTTGGATAGGTATTGGGGTTGCAAGTCCCAGAGCGGGGCTTGCAGAATTCTGATACTCCTGCTTCAGAGGTTGCAGGTCCGCTCTGGAGGTGACTGGAGGTT